AAGGGAGCCTACCACCTACCTAGGCCAACCCGTCAGGTGACAGTGCCGACCCGAGCCCAGGAGGAGAACCCAGCCTCTCGAGGCCCACCCAAACAGAGCCAGTTAGGCACTCGGTCACACAGCGCCCGGGCAAACCCACCTGCTGCTGAGCCCCCCAAGCCATGGCCTTCTCCTGGGATTCTAGGTGAAGCCACGGTCTGAAACGCAGGGGCATGAGACGCCGTAATGCCTCGGCTTCACTCCAGAGAAACCCAGGTGGCGGGCTGCGGGGTGGAGAGAGAGGAGGAGGAGGAACGGGACAGACAGAACGCTGACCAGGGTGGGACCCGCACGATGACGATCACAGAGAGTGCATTATAAACTGCTCTGCTTGGTAGATGTTTGAAGAAGTCCGTGACACATGTGAGGGGACCCTGCTGGGTGTGCCACCGCCACACATCTCCGAGAGGCGAGAGGCATGGCCTTCCCCCAAAGTCCTGGAAATACACTCACCCGCCCCCCCCAACACACACACACACACACACACACACACACACACACACACAGTATTTGGAACATTGGTGACAGGCCAAGCCTTGGCTGGGCACTAGAGGATCTCAGACAAAATTAAGGCACCCATTTCTGCCCTCAAGAAACCCATAATCCGGTGGGGTAAATAAGGTGCAAATGATTGTGTTACAGAGACTAACAGACGGCACGAGAGACAATGAAGAGTGAGCGCAGAGATCAGGACAAGGCTGCAGCCTTTTCCACGTTCCATCCCTGAGCTTAAATGTTTTGCCACTTTCTAAGGGCAGTCAAGTTTCAGAAATGTGTATTACCATTAACCAGCGATGTTTCACCCAAACGGAAAGAACATCAAAAGTATGAATAATAGCAAAAGCCTAAGAATCTGCTGGAAAAAATAGTTAAGTTACAATTGACCCACACACTAGAACATAAAGTTGTTATTTGAAAAGACAATATCCAACAATGATGGATAACATTCATAATCTAACTTTTATACAAAGAAGGTACAAAGTGACATAATATATTTCACATAACATATAATTTTGACCAATGTTTAGAAGCATGTAGACTTTACTTTTAATACCAGGAAAAAGTACACCAAAGTGTTAACAATAATTATATCTGGAGTGTAGATTTCTGGTATTCTTTTTCCTTTTTTTAACTCTTCTGCATGTTCTTAAGCTTTATGCCACATATACATATGTGGCATTACTTCTACAATAGCCTTTCCTATCTCTTTTTAGTTTTATATGGCAATTAGCTTTAAAGTACTATAATGTGTCTGCGTATCCAGGAACTGAACTGAAAAATCAGAAGCGCCCACTAAGCAGTGTGTAAGCTGAGAGGATTAACTGCCTGCAATCCTTTGAAGGGATCAGGGCCCCAGGGACCCTCTGCAAGGGCCAGACCGGGGCCCCACGAGCTGCTCTCGGCCAGCCCTAGGGGTCAGCTGCCCCCGAAAATGCAACAGGAGCTTCCCCCCAGGTCTGGAGCAGAACCGCTGAAGCATGAGAGACAGAGAAACAGGTGTGATCATTTAAAAAGCGAGCTCCCTTACCCACTCCGTGCATCAAGGGCCCCTACCACAGCCTCTGCTTAAATGTCCTGCCCCCCCCACCCCCGCCTGTCTGATGACCACACCTGGGCATGGGGCAGGGGACAGGGGTCTGCTCCCTCTCTTCTAGACAGATACAGTCTATCTTCTTTTCATTCTGAGGTTTGTTTGTTGTTGCTTTTTTTTTAGAGAGGGAAGGGAGGGAGAAAGAGAAAGAGAGAGAAACATCAATGTGCGGTTGCTGGGGGCCGTGGCCTGCAACCCAGGCATGTACCCTGACTGGGAATCAAACCTGCAACACTTTGGTTCGCAGCCCGCACTCAATCCACTGAGCTATGCCAGCCAGGCCTCATTCTGAGTTTTTAACCTCTCAGGAGCTCCACTTTGAGGCTGCCTCTAAACACCCTGGAATCTCTAAGCATTTCAAATGCTGAGTCCACCACGTGGACACCGTTTTCTTTAAAAGGGGGTTTCTGACGTCCAGGAAGATGGCAGTACTGGAGGGAAGCCCTCCCGTGCCACAGTTCCGCCAGCCACTTCCTCAAGGAAAGCATGATCAACTTCATGAGGCGCAGAACTCCCTAGACAGGCCCTAGGAGATTATAAACTCTCCCGTAAAAAAAAAAGACAAGACAAAAATTCAGGTATTTAAAGTGTAGCTGCAAATTGCCCACCCGGTAACAAACCACAGGGATTGGTCCAACTGGCTATTCTCACTGACTGAACCCATTTTAAGCCACAAGTAAATCATCTACACCACCTGCAGCACAAGAAAGACCGGCGTGGAATCTCGGCTCCAACCTGAGCTCGCTCCTTAATCCACAAAGAGCACGGGTTCCAGGAGGATTGGCGGAAGACCTCGTCCACCGTGCTGCAGAAGGGAAAACACTGAGTCTCCCATGGCAAACTTCAGACAAGCCCGGCCGCAGCTCGAACAGACTTGTAGATGCCTTTCCTCACCGGTGTTTCGTTTAGTTGTTTCCATTTTAAATTGGGTTTTTGTTTCCTAAAAACAAACCTTTCTGGGAAAGCCTCAAAAAACAGGGCTGTGGATGGGTGATAACAAACTCTTCCATCCTGCCCCGAGATTGAAGCGATTCTGGGAAGACACTTAAGAGCCAACTGTACTTCAAAACAGCTTTATGTTCCAGAATGAAAATGTTCTTCAACATAGTTCAAAAAGATACAGACAAGATTCTCAGTGGCCTTTGAAACTTCCAAAACCTTGAAGACGCTGCAAACCAAATGTTGCCGCAGCACTCCCACAGGGGGGTGCTCGGGACCCTCCCAGACCTCCACCCCCCATGACTGACACCCCGTGTGAAACGCGGCCATCAGAGCGCGCCCACGGCGGGGGGTTAGAAAGTTTTGTTCAAGTTTTCGCATTTCTTGTTTTGCAGACAGATGCTTAAAAAAAAAAAAACAAACCTTTCGAGCTCCGAAGTAACTGGCCTTTATAATAAAAGTTTCTTAAAGAAAGGTGTCAGCACACAAATTAAGTAGTTCCTCTTTTCTGCGGGTCCTCGGCGACCGGGGATCAAAGGAGGGGTGACAGCAAAGTGGCCCAGCAACCCTCGCCGGTGGTGGCGGGTCGCCCTGGCGCCGGCGGCCACACACACGCACACTCTCTCTCCCCCTCCCTCTCTTTCTCCCCCTCCCTCTCTCTCCACCCCCCTCTCCTTCTCGGACTCCAGGAAAGCAGCCTTTGTTCCCAAGACCCCAAACTGGGATCCAGTGACTGAGCCCCCACCTCCCCCGTGGCAGCCTGTCCAAACGAAGGAGCCCCTCAGAGACGGTCCCTGGTCGTTCTTGCAAGAAGCCCCGTTTTCCCCCGGGGCCCGAGTGCCAGACGTAGCTGCCACCTCGGGCTCCAACTTTCCTGGACACGCAGACGCACACACGCGCGCCCTCAAAATAGTGATTATCGCCGTCGCGGTCGCTGTTACTAGCTTTCACCTTTGGAGCGCTGCCCCCCCCCCCCGTGCCAAGCGTGTCTGTGCGTCTCTGCCTCTGTCCCTCCCTTCCTCTCCCCGTCCCCCCCACACACACACCAGAGGAAGCAGCACCCAGGTCTCCAGGTGTCCTCAGGGCTGAACCCTGAAGCTTCCGCGCCTCCCCTGCTGGTCCGGCCCCGAAAGTGCCCACGTCCCGCGCGCCCCGCGCCCCGCGCTCGGGCTCCTCTTTCCCGCGGACTGGGCAGGGGCGAGGTCCCACCCGCCCCGCTCCGGAGCCGGCTGCCCGCCCGCCCGCCCGTTGCGGCCCCGCGCCCCCCGCCCTGCCGGCGGGTCCGCAGGCCGCTCCTACCTCGCGCCCCGCTGCCCTTTGTCCTCGCGCCGGCGCTGCCCGCTCCCGTGCGCCCCGCGCCGTCGGAGGGCCAGCCCAGCCTCCGGCCGCCTGCACCACCCCGGCTCCCGGGCTCGGTCGCGCGAGGGGCGCTCGGCAAACCCGGAGAAGCGGAGCGCAGAGGTCCGCGCGGAGGACCCGACCCCTGACACGGGCCGCCCCCGAATCCACCTCTCCGGGTCTTCGGGTCGGCCGCGGGGGAGGGGCGCGCGGTGGGCCCGGCCGCCCCGGGACCGGGTCAGGGTGTTGGCTGGGCGCGGGGCTGCAACCGGGCGGCGGCGGGCGAGGGGGAAGGGGGGCACGCGGAGGGCCCGAGTCCCCGAGCCCCCGAGCCCCCGAGCCCTCCCCCAGCGGCGGCGCCCCAGTTTGACCCTGGCCCGCTCTCGTCCCCTGGGGGGACGCGGTAACCCCACCCTGTCCCCGGCTCCCCGCGCCCCAGACGAGACCGGTCTTCGGTCCGCAGCCAGCCCTCGGGCGCCGTCCGGGCGCCCACCTCGGTGGAATTCCCAACTCCTCACCCGAGGGGCCAGGCGCCGGGCGAGGTGCACCGCCGCGCTCCGGGTAGGTCTTTTCCTTAAGTCTCCGAGCGAAGGATCCCTCCCCCCACCCGCGGCCACGTTCTGCCCGGGGGCACGCACCCCCACACACTCCCGCGGGGCCGCCACTGGGAGCCCCTCCGGCCACGGGGGACTTAGCCCGGGAGGAAGTCTGGACAGAAGTTGCAAGAACCTTCGGAGAACAGAGGTCATGTTGCCACTTGGCACCAGGCTCCCAGAAGAAGGGACACGGCCGGTCTGTGTGGCAGCCGCAGCGGAGCCCAGGCCCACCACCGACCCCACAAGGGCCCCGGGACCCCGTGGAGCCCCGCCGAGAGCTGCTGTGCTGGGCGCCCCGCTGGACCCGCGCGGCGCGCGACCACACCAGCCCCGCAGAGGACCGGCGTCCCGGAGACGGGGGTCTGCCTGAGGCTAGCAGAGGAAGAGGAAGGTTCTGGAATGATGTGCGGAGGGAACCCGGCCAGACACCACTGAATCTGGTGTTGATCAGAAGAACGAAAGAAAGGAAAAGAAACAGGAGAAGCGAAGGAACTGACCTCACATAAGTCTTTGCCAGACCTCTCTGGCGACTGCAGCAGAGGTGGCCCCCAGCCGGAGCCCAGGGCTGGAGGCGCAAAACTCGAGATTTCTTTGTTTCTTTAAGCCAAAGGCAGGCCGATGATCCCAGGAACCTGCAGGAAGTGCGGAGCTAGAGGCAGGCCACCCACCCTGAAGGCTCGCTGCCACTCACTCCACGACCCCCAGCGTGGCCTTGGGCCTAACACTCAGGGCCCTTGCAGACAGGGGAGACAAAGTTGAATGAGGGTGCAGCCCCCCAGCGAGCGCCCCGCCCCCCCTTCTCAGGTCCTCCGGGAGGGAACACGGAGAGCGAATCTCCGCAGAGCTCCCCTGCCCTGATGGGCAGCACCGTCCTTGTCTTGTGCTTCCTGTGATGTGTTTCAAACTCACCTCCCCAGGGAGAGCCGCACCAGGAGCCCCCGTGTGCCCAGGAACCAGCCAGTCCCGAGGTGTCGCCACGCTGCTGCGGATATATATTCGCGTAAGAAATAAATGAAATAAATCACCATCGGTCACAGCCCCTGGTCAGCTCTCCCTGCCCCCGGTTCCTTCCTCCCCACCCCGCCTGTGCTGGCACTCTTCCGAAACGTCCCGTCCTTGTTTTCCTAGTGTCGCTGCGGACGCTCGCGTTCACACCCTGTGCACAGCACTTTATCAGCTTTGCGACGTGCCATGTGTTATCGTGCTCTCTGTTCTACGTATGAAGGGTCTACCTGTGCACAGCTCGTGCTGTTTTGCCCCACACGATGCTCGTGTGACCCGTCTAATCACACAGACACACCTCCGCTTCGCTCGTTTTAACCGGTCAGTAGTGTTCCGGTTGGGTGGATCTGGCACGACTTGTATACACGTGCTCCTGACGGGCATTTGAGTCGACCCGGCTCTCCGAGACTGTGGACACGGCTGCGGGGAACACTCGTGGAACTGCACCGGTGCTCCTGGGGTGCAGCCCGTCTCCCGGCCACCACGCGGGCGGAACGTGCAGACAGACAGACAGCAGCCAGGTTCCACCAACGTGACATTAACCCCTTCGCTCACTGGTCTAGGCGATCGCCGTTGCTAAACCGGTAACCGCTGCACGAAATCCTGACTGTTTGCCCCTTACATTTTGACAGCTTACGTTTTATAAAATTATAGAATTCTACAGAACCTGGGTCAGCAAACTTTTTTTTAAGGCCCAGGAATAAATATTTTAAGCTTTGACAGCCAAGAGGCAAAATCAATGCTATTCTAGTATACAAGTCCTTATAGAAACATTTGAAACATAACCTCTTACAGTGTAAAAATCATTCTTAACGCCTGGGCCACTTTTAGAAAACAGGAAAACACAGGCAGCCGAGCAGGTGTGGGGCGGGGTTAGTTCGCCCTCTGGTAGGAGAAAGTCATTCCAAAACATAATTTCTTTCCTTGAAACCCAACACTTAAAAGGAAGTTACTTTTAATAAAGACAAAAAAGTACAACTTGGCTCAACCTAAGAATCAAAGTGAAAATAGTGTTACTGTTTGGGGGAAAGCTTGAGGGAGAGCAGCTATACCTTAGTTGCTTCATGCCATGAGTGTGGGAAAACCATCTAATTCTGGTTTTGAAAATCTACAATAAATTTTAGAAATGAATAGACTCCTACCAATTAAGAATTAATAGACAAGAAATGAGAGTCAACAAAAAGCTGTGTATTGTTTTCATGCTTAATGAGTCACCCGCTTGCTTCTAGCCACTGATGTAAACACCAGCACACAAGCACAATGAGTTAGATTTGTTTTTCCTGAACTGGAACTGACCCACTTGTTTTACATGTCTTCACTGAACTTGAACCAAGACTTGAAAAAGTAATTTCAGGATATTTTCTTAAATGAGGAGAATCAGCCTAGTTTAAACGCTGACAAGAATGGGGCCGAACCAAAAAAAACTCCGGTGGCCGGCCTGAAACCCACAGGGGGCTGTCCCTGTCCGAGCCCAGGTGGCCGTGAGCGGAGGGCTCTGGCAGAGGCCGCGGGAGGGCAATGAGACCCGGCTCCTGGGCGCATCTGTTTCTTTGACCAGGGTCGTTCTAAAGAGCCACGCCCACACACTTCCCCTCACAGGTGTGTGCACACGCATCACACATGCAGTCCTTGCACACACATCTGCTTCCTGAAACCCGTACAGCACTCACGCCTTAACATCCATGCGGCTTTTCGTCTCTCACGTTCTTTCCACGGACACCAAATCTCTCTTCCCCTCCCTCTCTCACGCACACACACACATGCACACAGTCACACCATTTCTCCCCTTCACGCACACATGCTCCTTGCACCCATATTTCCTGCCATTTCTTTGCAACACACATTTTTTCACATGGCTACACCCAGATGCAAACTCCTGCCACACGTTTGCATGTGTGTGCAAATTTGTGTGTCCAGACACACAAGTAACAACATACTCTCCCTCGTGGCACCAACAGCGTCCTCCGGTGGTCGGTCACGCTCACCGCAACTGCCCAACTAAACTGTGGCAGCATGGCCCAGGGTGACGCCTTCAGAAACCCTAGTTATGTATGCGCAGTTGTTTAGAATCATTGGTGAGCAGCACGCCACTTGTTTCTATAAAAGGGGGACTTCTAGATGGCTGAAGAGTACTTAAAACATGTTCTCTTCCAATAATAGATCTCTAAACTGTAACCCAGTTTGTGCTAATCATCATTTTCTGTGGGGAAAATGCTCCCCTGGCTTTGTAAGTGCTTAACCCCAGCTTGCTTAAATCATCCCGAAATGTGAATGGGGAGGTCTGTTCATCTGCTCGGGCTGCCGCAATGAAGCGCCACACACCGAGTGGCTACAACAATAGACACTTATTGTCTCAGAGTTCTGGGGGCCAGAAACTTAAAACCCAAGTGTCAGCAGGATGGGTTCCACCTGTGGGCCGTGAGGGAAGGACCTGCTCCCGGCCCCTTCCCTTGACTTGTAGGTGGCTGTCTTCGTATCACCTTCGCTCTAGGGTATCTGTGACCGGATCTCCTCTTCTTATAAGGACACCAGTGGCATGGGACCGGGGGCCAACTTAATGACCTCATCTTAGTTGGATTATCTCTGCTGAGACCCTAACTCCAGATCTGGTCACATTCTGAGGTACTGGGGGTCAGGACTTCAATGCATGCATTTGGAAGGGGGGATGGGGAGGGGACACAATTCAGCCACAACAGTAGGATCTGGATTGTTTCTGCACACGATGTAGCCCAGAGATGCTAACCCCCACCCTGATCAGTAGTAAGTCTGTGGCCTAAAGGTTTGGGAATTCTTCATCTGGAACCTTAAACTGAGATCTGACTGCACTTTCTCGACTCCATTCCACCCCCATTTTACCAGGAATAGTGTGACCGTCCAAAATGCAGAAGCTTGATTCCCTGGACTCCCTCAAGTATTAAATGAAACTGCTCCACCTGGTGGGGACTCAAGGCACTCCCAGCAAATGATAGACCAGCTCGTACCTGCCCTGCCAATGTCCTCTTGGCAGGCACCACATTAGACAGATAAACCAGGGCAAGAGTCACGGGGCAAACGAGTTTAGCAGCACAGGTGTACCTCCTGGGGGTAGTTCATGGGAGGTGAAAATACAAACACATTTCACAATCAACAAGACACGAGCAAACAAACTGCATTTTGGAACTAAAATGTAGTTCCAAACTAAAATTTGGGGATCATAAATCTGAAACCAGTGTTCTAAGGTCTGATGCTTAGCAATTTTCTTTTCTCTTAGGACAGGGTATTGTAGTTTATCTTTTTTCATTAAGTCAATGATATGTAAATACCTTGCAAAGGATTTCAAAGTTGCTGACTGTATTTTTTCAACACAATTCACATGAATTTTAATCATGCCCCTACATACAGAAAAGACAAAGGAAAATACTCAGATAACCCATCTGAATTATTACCAATGAAGCTTTGCTTTGATAAAATCTCTAACAAATCAAATTCAAACCCTGCAGCTGTGAGTCTGCTGCGTTATCAACCGTCTGACGCTGTGAATGCAGGTTTTCCCAGGCGCATTCCACAGCAACTGAACTTCTGACAGTTCCCGATGCTGAGAGGAATGGCAAGCTTTCTCCAAAATAAAACTACTTGAAACCGACAATATTCAAAACATACTAAGAAAAGGAGTCTCATGCAGCCTAAAATTCAGGCAGAAGAAAAAATAGAAGCTGCTCAACTTAGCGATAATTTGATAATGTTGAATCCAAACAAAATCTGCTGTGTGGTACACTTGGAAGATTCAAGACAAAAATGTTATGTTTTCATCTTGTGTTGTCCTGTTTTGCAACAGACTTTAAACGGCAAAGTAGCACGGAAAAAAAGATATTCTGTTTTCCAAATGTGATTTGTTTAGGTATAAGGTAACGTTCCCATTGATGGTAAAAAATGCTATCGGGGGCATCAACCTGGGGGCTTATCCGACGCCATGGGGAGGAGACTTGGATCTGGCCTCATCCGGGTTCAGGGTGGGCTTCCAGGGGAAGGATGTCTAACCTGAGGAGTTGGCTAGAGGGGGCATCAAAGGAAGAATGTTCTAGGCAAAGAAAACAACATGAGAGAAGACAGGGCAGTGAAGAGAAGATTTTAAGAGATTGAGTGAAGATTAACGGAACGGGACCAGGGAAAATGATGTAACCCATGTCCCATGAAAAGGTGGTCAGGGGCTCCCGAATGCGGGGACGCAACTCCTGCCCTCCGGAAGTGTGAAAGGGGCGGCGGCCAGGCAGGCAAGTGGCCAGCGGCCAGCGTGCAGGGGACGACACTACAACACAGTACCCGGACACATTGTAAGCCCGGGACTGATGAGATCAGATCTGTGCTTCAGAACAATTTATCTGCCCATGAGAGGTCAGCAGTTACCAGCCAAGGAGGGGCAGTTGTTTCATTCGACAGTGATAGGGTAGAGTCCCTCGGCACTGGTGGGTGAAGGAAGAGATGAAAGGCAGGGAAATGACTTAGGAAGCAGGAACAATAGTCCAGGCACAATGACGAGGAGGGCAGGCGCCCCCAACAGGAATCAGGAGAATCAGGAGGAGGGAAAGGCTGAAACCCCTTTTCTGGAAATGAGCTGACAAGCCTCGGAGACGCCCCTCCCCTCACTTTGTGGATTTCCCTTTGCAGCTCACCGCGGCATAGAGCAGCAGTGCACCCTTCCCACAGGTCCTTTCGGACGGGCTTTCCCTGCCATTTGACTGCAGGAGGACTCCTTTGTTTCATTCTGAGGCAGATATTATTGCTAAGTGGAGAGACGGAACCCATGTTCCCAGGCCAATGGCAACTTCTGTGGGCAGGCGTTGTCCTGGGAGCGCCCTATAAAACTAGTCACGTTCCGAACAAAGACTCGGAACAAAGACTTAACTGCACTGCTCTTTGTTCCATCTGATGTCATTTTACAACCACTTCCAGTCACTGGCGTAGAAGCTCTGAGACTTGATTAGTAGTAAACAGCCCCTGTGAAATTGTGAAGCTCCTGTTCCCACTGGAGACGGATTGTCCACTGGAGACTTGACGCGCGTTATCTCTAATGCAGCAGATTTGCGGGTTCACATAGACACTGAGGGCCCTAAAGGTTAAGTTACTTGCCAGTTGGGGGCTAATAACGGGGCTAATGGGGACGCAGGACTGGCTCCAGCTGAGGTTTCTCTTCCTTTCCCCACGCCCCTCCTCTTTGGCACCCTTCGAGCTCTCCAGAGCTCCTCTCTTGCACGTTCTTGTCCTCACCGCAGCTCCCTAGAACACGTACTGATCTGGAAAGTAAGCAACCAGCTCTGCTAAGATCTTTTTGACCTGAGGCAAGTCACTCCCCTCTCGGTTCTCAGTTCCGTCCCCTGTGAAACTCGAGTTCTCCTGAACGATCCCCAGGATCTCTTCCTGCCCTGACGTCCCATCACCCCGACTATTAACACACAGAAAACCAATGGGGGACGGTCCTGCGACCACCATTTCTCCTCTGCCATCTTTTCCACATGCCCTCTGCTTCCTCCAACTCTCGTATGTATGGCAGAGACACGGAGGCGACCACGGACCACAGAGGCAATATCCAGCGCGGCCCCGCAACCCTACATTTCCCAAGCCAGTCTCCTCTCCTGTCCCCCATCCCTGCAACCACCCTTGTGCAAATATTTACTGGGTGTCTGCTGTGTCTCCCAAATCTTCAATCCTACCATGGCCCCTTACTCTCAGCAGGTGACTTTGGCTTCACAGAGTGTGAGCTCGCTGGCCTTCCTGCTCAGTGACAGGTATTGTACATTTCTATAGGGCTGTGTCATGGTGCTGACTCTCTGCGACCACCCCCATCCTGACCCCACGCCCCACTTTCACTCGCCCAACCCCGTTTCTGGCGACAGAAAATCCAGTCACTTTTCAGGCATCTTCTCAGGGTTCGAGATGCCAAATTAATTAATCAGTTGTGGTGTCAAATCCTGCCTCTGCCACTTCCTCGCCAGGACTTCAGGTCATTTTTGTAATCTTGCTAATCTTCTTGATCTGTAAATTGGACCCCCCAAATGCCCATCTTTCAGTTTTGATACATGAATTACATGAGAAAATGTATGCAGAACATTTAGCAGACTGCAGATGTTTAATTAACACCTTACTTATAAAAGCAGCCACTCCTAGTCTGCAGAGCTTGCCTTCTTCTGGACTCTGGCTGGTAAAAGCATCTGTTAACTGCCTGGGAAATTCTCCATTCTGCAACAAAACCCAACATGCTGGAGACTTGCCCTAGGTTGTCCTTCACTTCAGTCATTCATTTAGCAAGCGTGTACCGAGCACTTACTATTTCACCAGGTACTGTGCTGCATGCTGGAGACAGAAAGATTATAGAGCATGCCTCTGACCTCAAGAAGTTTAGTGTCTGGGGAGGCGACTTCCTCCAGAAGCTTTCCCTGCTGGGCCTCTTGGACTAGGTAGGCAGGAGCCTCGGGTCTAGTCACCTGGCTCAGTTGCTGCCCTCCACCCCTTACTTACCAAACTCCATGCCTTTGTGTTTCACAAGGTATGCTTGCCTCTGTTGTAAGTAATCTACATTTATTCATTCATTTAATCCTCACAAAGGCCTGCTGAGGTACCTATGGTCATTATACCCATTTAGCAGATGAGGAAACTGAAGCCCAGGGCAATTAAGAAACTTGCTTAAGGTCTTGTAACTGAAGAAGGAACCAGGATTTGAAAACACACCTCTGGGTCCAGCTTTACATGTTCTGTTTATCTGTCTCCTCCTCTGAGGACTTCAAATAAATAGCTCCTGTGCCCACCGCAGTAACTGACAGAACAGGCTATCAAGCATTTATTCAGCAAATGAAAGAGAAAGCAAGGAAGAAAAAGGAAAGAGAGAAGCATATAAGTAAACAATTCCACAATTGTTTGGTCACCAACATCTAAGCATTAGCCCTGGGCAAATGCCTGAGAGCTGCAGAGGGAGCTCAAGAATAAATTCAAGTCTGTGCCCTGGCTGGTGTGGCTCAGTGGATTGAGCGCCAGCCCGCCGGGTTCGATTCTCAGTCAGGGCAAAAGCCTGGGTCCCCAGTTGGGGCCGTGCGACAGGCAACTGATCCATGTGCCTCTCGCACATTGACGTTTCTTTCCCTCTCTTTCTCCATCCCTTCCGCTCTAAAAGTAAATAGAATCTTTAAAAAAAATTAAAAAGTATAAATTAACATCTCGGCCAGCTCCGAACTTGCAGCTACCAGTGTCGTTAGTGTCAGGCATTCCAAGGAACTTTGTCGTTTCCCGCCTGCCTGTTTGGGACTTTTTTTCGTTTGGTTGGTTGGTTGGTTTGATTGGATTCTTCCCCCGCCCCGCCCCGCCCCTTCCTCTGGATTCCGTCTCCACCTCTTCCTTTTCCTCCGCCGTCCTCCGCGCGGACGCCGCGAGCCGGGAATTCGCGGACTCCTGCCCCAGCGCGAGGATCGGAGCGCGGGGCGGGCATGCGCACCGCGGACGGCGCGCTGGAGGCGGCGCACTGCGCATGCGGGAAGATGGCGGCCCAGGCTCCCTAAGAGTGCCCAGTTACCCAGTTCTCCTGCTGTCCGCGTGCTAACTCCCGGGGCCGTGGGCAGTGGCGCGTTCGTCCGCAGCCAGGCCCAGCCAGGGGCACCTCCTAACAGGCCGCGAGCTCTGTTCGTGCTTGGCTTCGGGAACGGCGTGTTGGGGGCGGTGTCGGACGCGACCCGGAGAAGGCGGGAGAACTCGCGGGGGGCGAAGGGGCGGCCGGCTGGGCAGCATGAGTCAGCAGCGGCCAGCGCGGAAACTGCCCAGCCTGCTCGTGGACCCAGCGGACGAGACCGTGCGCCGCCGGTGCCGAGACCCCATCAACGTGGACGGCCTGCTGGTAAGTCCCGGGGACGTCCTGAGTCCTGAGCGCCCGCAACCCTGGCGCGGCTCGGGATAGGGTAGGGTCTCAGGCTCACCGGTTCCTTCCCCTCCGCAAGGAAGCTGGGCTGAATGTCCCTGGGTCGTGAGCTCCCCCAGCGTGGGCCGATGGCGGCTCCTCGGTCTCCTCTGCTCTTGCACTGCTTGGATTTCGCTCAAACTCTTGCATTCTTTCCGCACGCACTCTCAAATGTGTTGTCATCCTTGGCATTTACCTTGGGACTACACCGCAGTTATGGAGACAGTTGCTCAACTTTGCGTCAGAAATCTCGTTTTTCTACTTCCAGTCACCCTCAGTGCATCTCTGCAAGCTGTTTCTGTTTGGCATCCCCTCCCCTTCTCCTGCTTAACTGCTGCAATGTAAAAGCTCGTCCACACTTCGCGTTTCCCACCCCACATTCAGCAAATTATCTTGCGTCCTGTTTGACCGAGAGAAATGGGAGTTTGGGCTCTCTTCCTGCAAAAAGTTAATTTCTTCTGCTGCTCTAGACTAGATGCAGTATATTGTCCTTGGTTCTCAGGGCTGCTGGTGAATCCGTCATTTTCCATCTCTCCCCGTATTTTCAATTTCTGTATTGGTTTCTTCCTCTAACTAGTCAGTATGCCCAGTCCCCATGGGGACTCAGTGCTCAAAAATAGTTAGACATTATCTTATTTAATTCCTCAAGGCAGCCTAAGAGATTATAAGGACTTGTTTTACAGTTGCCAAAATAGATCTGGGATTATCAAGTGGTTTGCCCATGGTTAGACAGTATGTAGAAAAGCCTAAATTTGACCTCACAGTGTCTGATTCCATACCATAAATTCGTGACTACTTAAACTGCATCCTGAAATCAAACTGCATCCTGAATTCACCCCATCTTAAAAAAATCCCTCGCACAATTCTGTATGTCCTTCCACCTGCTGCATGTGTTCCCCTGCACAGCCCAACTATTTGAAAAAATTTGTTTGCATTCCCTGTCCACTCGCTCACCTGTCATTACCACCCTAACCTACGCAGGGGTCGGGGTGGGGACCTCTGCCCAAAGCACAGCCCTAAGGCTGTTCTCACCAAGGTCGCCAGCAACATTGTCGGTTCCAGCTGACCTTTGCTTAGCTCCTTATCTCCGAAGCTTTGATAAGTTTGACCGCTTGCTTTTGTTGGAGACTCTCACAACTGAATGGCTTTTTCACACACCTACCCTTGGTGCTCCGCCTGCTCCTCTGGTCTCTCCTTGCGCTTCTGGGCAGACTCCTCCCCATTCCTTACCTGTTGATATCCACCTTCCACACACAGTCTCCACGCAGGATGTCATTCGCCACCACCCTCATGACTTCTGTTACCGTCCATGTTGGTGGTCTTAATCTTTGAGAATATGGTGAAAGCTCTGAGCTCTGGCTATGGAAAAGCCACTTAATTAATATCAGAATTTGCACACATCCCTTGAAGCCTTAGATATTCTTTTTATTATTATTATTATTATTATTTTGCGGTCTTAGATATTCTTATCCACTGTTAGTTTTAGTTACTATGTCATAACAGCTCCCAAATCTGTGAATCCAGCGCAGAGTTCTTCAGCTATCTGCTAGATATCTCTACTTAGATTTGAAACTCGTGTCCAAAACTGAATTCACTCGCTTCTCGCTAGCAAGCAAGGACTTTGCTGTTTCCTTGCTCGCTAAATGCTGACGCGCCCCCTGCACTGCCTGAGCTCCCGGGCCGAGCAGCACCCTTGCCTTTTCCCTTTCCCAGGCTGACCCCGCCGTCTTCCCAAACTGATTAAAACTCAATCACCAATGCTTGCCACTTCTAACCGTCGTTGATTTTTCAGATTGTTGCAGTGTTTTCCAAACCAGTATTCTTGCTTGTAGTTTTGCCCCAATTTTTCTATGTATTTTCATAGTTTGGGGGGCCCTTACATATCCACATTTCCCTTTCCAAAAACGCTTTTTTTTTTTTTTTTAAGACACACTTTTCTTTGTCAGGTCAGGTCACATTTTTTTTTAAATAGGGCACAGGGTACTGGACATGAAGTTCCCAATTTCTTTTTCTTTTCTTTTTTTAAGATTTATTTATTTATTTTTAGAGACGGGAGGGAGGGGGAGAGAGAGACACACACACACAGAGAGAGAGAGACAGAGACATCCATGTGCAGTTGCTGGGGGCTGTGGCCTGCAACCCAGGCATGTGCCCTGACTGGGAACCGAACCTGCGACACTTTGGTTTGCAGCCCGCGCTCAATCCACTGAGCTACGCCAGCCAGGTCCCTGTCAGGTCACATTTGCAGGTCACTTGTCTGAGCCTTCCCTGACCTCCGAACATGGGGTTCGCACAAAGCCCCCGCTGTCCCCTTACCCCTTTTTGAAGTGTGTGGCTCTTGAGTCCCTCAGTGTAGTGACTGTCCATTTCATTGTCCTATGTCCAGCATATTTGGTGCCTCCCACAGAAAGATTTGGTAAGTAGTCACTGAGTAAATGAAGTAGGTACTCTGTGAATGGGAAACGTTTGAGTGCATGACCATTTACTCTCCTGCCTGTGAAATGGCAATTTGAACACATATCTCAGGGTTTTTTAACGGGCCGGTGGTTGGAGGTATTTTATAATTAAATGCAAAGAATTGCATTGCTATGCAAAGATTAGTTATGTATCTGGCTGAGTGTTTGATGTTCTCTGGTAAATGGCTTGAAAGCTGGATTTTGAGAAGGGAGGAAATAATGTTCTTGGTGGTGGAACTTAGTCTACACGTTGAAAAACAAGGAAAATTTAAATGAGTGAAAATAGAGTCACCTTGGAGAAATACCTATTTTCAAAGGGTTCTTAAAGGGATGTCATTCCGAAAAACCAGCAATCAGTACAAAGTAAAATCTGTACAGAGGAAATTTTAATTAACTTAGAAGCAGTGCTTAGGGCTTTAGCCCCTAGAACTCTTTTTTGTTTGTTTGTTTGTTTCTTGTTTGAGAGCTCAGATTTAGACCACTGGGTCTTCAGATGGGGGCGTGGAGCGGCCGCGCAGTACCTGGGGAGGCACCGACTGGCCCAGCGGGAGGGCTGGTCCCCATAGCCGTGCACCATGGTAGCCCTCCTCTCGTTGGTTTCTTTGTCCCCTCGTCTTGGTGCCTCCCTGTGTTTGTTTCTGTGCATTAGGTGGAGCTGCTTTGACTCCGCCTTAGCGCATCTGCTAGGTTGTGTGGGGTGGAGCCTTAGGTGATTGCCAGGGTGGGCAGCCCGGGTCACTGCTCTGTGGCTCTGTGTGGGGGAGGCTGGGAGAGGGGACAGTGCTGCTGCCCGGCCTCTGGAGTTTTGTCCGGGAGGAAGCTGTCTTCCCCACTCACGCTTCACTATCTCCCCGTTTGCCACTGGTGCCCCTTCAGCCGTTGCCCTGGTGCTGAATCCCAGAGGGGGTGGGTCTGTGTGAGTCCTCAGTCCATTGCAGGCCCTTTAAGAGGACGCAGTTTCTTCCACTGCCCCCTCCCCCACTGGTGGTTACCAGAAGTTATGGGGACTTATCTTCCTGGTGCTGGGCCCCTGGGTCGGGCGGTCTGGACTGGGGCTGGTCCCTCGCTCCCGAGGTGTCCCTCCCGTGTTTTATCCACCACACGCGGATGTGGGACTGCCCGTCCCCGTCTCCACCCCTCCTACCCATCTGGATGAAGGTGGTTTCTCTAAATCCTTGTTTGTCAGACTCCACAGAGCTCAATTTTATGACAGTTCTGGGTGAAGTTTGTTTTGTATTGTTTTTTTTTAAGATATATTATTGTGGCTTTTTAAAAAGATTTTATTTACTTATTTTTAGAGAGGGGAAGGGAGGAAGGGGGAGAGGGAAGAACATGAGAATATCAGTGTGTGGTTGCCTCTCATGTGGCCCCCCACTGGGGACCTGGCCTGCAACCCAGGCATGTGCCCTGACTGGGAATCGAACCTGCAGTGCTTTGGTTTGAAGCCTGCGCTCAATCCACTGAGCTACGCCAGCCAGGCTGAAGTTTGTTTTGTATCTAGTCATGTTTTTGCTGTACAGGCATTTACCTACACCTCCATCTTGACCGGAAGCCCAAGAGTCCTGACGGGCTCTTTTAAGACCGCTTAGCCTTGAACAGACTTGGTGGTGGTTGTGCTGCGCTTGTGTGAGGGAGTGTCCCTGAGCCACACACTGAATTAGCCAGCAGTCTGCAGTTTACCCTCCAGTGGCTGGGGAAAGAGTGTGTGTGTGTGCAGAGACGAACAGGACAGAGCCCGTGCTGTAACAAACGAGCCTTGGGCGGTGCGGGTGAAGGGGGCGTGGCGGTTCTTGGTGCTCTTTCTGCACCTTTTCTGAAGGCTGAGAGTGTTCCAAAACCAACGGGAAGTGGGCAACCCCTCAGCTCGAGTGGGTGCCCCTCCGCACTCCACCTCCTGTCCCGCTCCCTCGTCCACGTGAGGGTGCAGAGGCCTGTCGCTCTCTCCGGGGGTGGGGGGCACTGCCCGTCCGAGGGGTCCTGGTGATGTGGGGCCAAGCGCAGGGTGGCCGTGCACTTACTTTTCTCTAACAGCTCCCTGACTTTTGTGTGGGGAAACGTTTGTTCTGAGGTTACAGTCACTTCGGAAGGAGGGGTCCTGTCTAGTCCCGTCTGCTCCCAGAAGGGCTCCTTCTCCTTGCCCGCGTGTCCAGGGCAGGTCACCAAAGTCCAGTAGCTGGAAAGGCTTGCCAGGAGTGTTGGGGCGTCTCTCAGACGAGGACTGTTGCACTGGGACTGGGGAAGGGGCTTCGTGTTCTCTGGGTGATCCTCAGAGAGTGGACCCACGAGGGCGGCGTCACCCGGGGTCTATACGAGCTCACCGATTCGCAGTGCTGACTTGTTTATCCGGCAGAGCCCTGCTGACACGGTGCTGTCTCCGTCTCCATTCCCGAGTTTGTACCGGGCACTCACCAAGTGCCCGACTGTGCCAGGCACTACTCTGGTTCAAATAGGAAAACAAGAATGTGTGGTCGCGTAAGATTTCATCATTCACAAAATCCCCCATTTAATCTTCACATTACCTTGGAAAATGGGCAATAAAGTGATATCGCTACACGGTGTCATAGATAAAGGTCAGGGCCCACCCGCATCTAGGAAGCCAGTAGTTGGTACTCCCAAACCGGGTCTTGGGCCAAGAGCTGTTCTGAATGTGAAGGAGGCGAATGCGTCGTTCCCGGGGGCGCTTGGGATCTCCAGGGCTGCAGACCGGTGGGGTTTATACGTAAGGGGTGTCTACCCCTGGCAGGCCATGATGCTGTTGTGATTCCTTCGAGACGAGGAGATGTTTTCACATTCAAAGAGAAAAAATGAGTGGATGCTGTTGCAGCCTTGTCCTGCAGACCCCAGTACGGCCAACATGTAGTGCACCTGCCTTCGTGGCAGAGAGTAGAGGGGAGGGAGAGCCACCCTGTCCGTGTGACCAGGCCTGGTTGCGGGAGCGGTGCAGAGCGGAAGAGGTGCCCTTCGAGAAGGCGTGCAGAGCGGGTGGCGGGCCGCCTGCTGGGAAACCGCCGAGTGCTGCGCCTGTAGGGCCTGACCCTGCTCCTGTAAGTCCGGGGCTGAAGCCTCTTTGCAGCCAGGCAGCGCAGGTTCTGCTCCGCTTACCCTCCTGCAGCGCGGTCTCAGGACTGCACGAACAGTAGCAAGTTTACTCTAGCCTTACAGTCGTTACAGTAACACACTGCAGATGTGTAGCAGGTCGTGGACCAAATAGAAAACCCATAAACAGGCCTTAAGGTGTGTAACAACTCGGGATATGTGTTTGTGTGTGCTTCTAATCGCCGTGACGAGGATGCATTGTTTTTCAGGAATCTGCTGGGATAGTCAGACTCTGTCTCGTACTGCCTTAGCAGAGGGGTTCAGTGTAAAAGTAGCAGTGACACTTGGTCACACCCGGCCGGCCGAGGTTTGGCTTTACGAGGACTGCGTACAGGACTGCGTCCATTGCAGTCCTGTGATCCTTAGGGCACCCGGTGGGGTTACAGCCAGTCTCGGGGCCAGTGCTTCCACTCGTCAGGAGCTAAACCTGCCTGACGGAAGCCTCTTCCGGACACAACAGCCTTGTACTTCGTTCTGAGCATGCGGCTAGTACGGGTTTCTGTTTACATGGCTTTATCCAAAGGTTTGGTTTATTTTTCGTTTGTTTGTTTTTATTCTCACCCAAGGACATGCTTTTTGATTTCAGAAAGGGGAGGGGAGGGAGAAACATCGATGTGAGAGAGAAGCGATGATTGGTTTTGTTTCGTACACACCCCAGCTGGGGACCAAACCCACACCCCAGGCCTGTGCCTGACCAGGAATCGAACCAGCGATCTTCCGGTTTGCAGGACAGCACTCAGCCACGCCGCCAGGGCTAAAGGTTTTATTTTTACAAAAACAGTTTCTAAATGTATTGTAAGTGTTACTGCCAGATTATATAAATTCTCACTCCCTCTAAATAGCTGATAAAATGGTGAGGCATTGATAGTGGAGCTACCACTAATTTCCTGGTTGTTTCGGGAATTTAAAAGAAAGCGTTTATTAAATCCGAATAACAGAGTCCCTAGTCGTGTAGCAAGCATTGTTCTCCGTCCTGCGAAGTGCTGCTCTTTTTGCTTTAACCACCGTGGGGATGCGTGGCTGCCCAAGAAAGGTGGTGAGCCAGTTTTGGGGAGCCACTCACACTTACACAGCAAGGGGTGTTTCTCAATTCAGACCTATCCGACGTCTCCCGAGTCTTCCGGAGTCAGGGACAGTGTCCTGTGTTTCTTTCCAGCCTTGGGGTCTGATGCAGTCAGCAGGCTAGTGCTCACCCGGCGATGCGCTCTCACGATTGTGTTTTCTCCCTCACCGCCCCTGCCCCCGCCCCTTTCTCAAATCGTGATCTGCGACACTGGCAGACGTGATCACAGTCAGAGTAGATATAATCTGGAAGGAGGACTGATTTTCTCACACCCAGATTGTTACCCCAGAGTGTGGGGGGCGGGGAGAGAAACAACTATATGTCACCTGCTAAAGTGCTGTTTGTGGGCATTGCTGTTTTTAAATTACTAAGTTAAATTTCTGGTGTTTTTTCTGTTTTCCAGCCATCAAAAATAAGGATTAATTTAGAAGATAATGTGCAATATGTGTCCATGAGAAGTAAGTTGATTCCTGAATAGGTTTTAGGATTGTATTGGGTTGGCCAAAAAGTCCGTTACATTTTTTTCCATAAAATAAAGGACACATTTTTTTTTTCATTTTCACCAATAACTTTACTGATTTGGATATTCTGAGTGTGTCGGCTCTCTCCCACTATTGGCTTCTAGTGGGTGGAGGCCAGGGGTGCTGCTGAACACCTTCCAGTGCACAGGACAGCGCACGGCAGAGAATTATTTGGCCAAATGTCAATAGCACCGAGAAACTTCGCAAACCACTTCTGACATGTTCAATCAGTCGCAGCATCTTCCCCACACACTGCATAAAGACATTTTTGCATTTCAGCTCTGTTTTTACCTTTGCTGAAATAATAAAGCATAAATGCCAAAAATGTTTATTTTCTTTCATCTTCACTATTAAATTGACTACACTAAAATTTACCAATTTTGATGAGTGTTTTTAAAATGCACACCAACATGACAGCTGTCACAACACAGTCTCACAAAATCGTTTCGAATGAAGTTGGAGACTACTGGGCACTACCAGAGCCATTGTATGGAAAAAACTAAACTAACTCTTTGGCCAACCTAATAGTTTGAACCTCTTGTGATTGAAATGATTTATTTTAAATGTGCGTCAGTTGATGAGCGACTTTAGTAATATTTGCTATTTGTGCACCAAACTGTAAAGCTTGGAGTTTCCGGGGGCTGGGGGGCCTCTGCCCTCTGGGGCAGCTCCCCGGAGGCTGTGAGAGCAGGGTCGTGCTGCCCGCGGTGCACCTGAGGCAGGTGCACCAGGAGCACCTTCCAGCCTCCTCCGAGCTCCTGTGCCTGGGAGCCAGTCGTGGGCCAGGGCTCGGAGTCAGCTAAAGGGGACAGGAGCCAGTCGCTGCAGTTCCCTTCCCCTCTGGGAATCGTGACGGAGGCCCCACCCTCCTTCCCCCTTAATTTGGTCCTGTCCTCGGTGGACACACAGTGCGTCCATGCCCACATAGAACATGTTAATGCCAGAGCCCAGTCCTTGAATTTTTCCCCAGCCCTTGTCACAGTCCACCCACAGTCAGTGTCCGGGTTTGGCCTTGGAAGGGCCCCCATCTGTCCCATACCACCGACGGGGCACAATGTCGAACCGTTACTGCGTCTACCATGTCTGGCCCTGTTTTATTTAAGCTTTTTGCATGGCCTCTCACAACATCCCTTCGTAGTGGAGGTGTGAACTGTCCCTGTTTCACAGATGCGTACACCGAGGCCCAGAGAGCTTAAGTCACGCGCTCAGTCGGGGCTCAGCCCCACGCCTGTCTGGCAGAGAGACGGCAGCGGCTCAGGTCTCCCGCTCCCGGGCAGGAGCAGGGACCTCTGCCCCCAGGCCCTTCCCGCTGCTGACTTCCAGCGGGGAGCCTCCCGGCGGCCCGGGCGGCTTTTCTGGCACGGAAGCGGGACTGTGGGGTCACTCACCGGGAAGCTCCTCGGTGATGCCCTGTCACCCCCAGAGAAGGCCCTGCCTCCTCGCTTACGTGTGAAACTGATAAGCCACCTCACCCCTTTAAAAGAACCAAGGTAGCAGGGAATGGACGGACGGACGGACGGACAGACAGACAGAGCCCTGGGAGGCCAGTGCTAGGCACTCTGGGATCAGTACCGGCTGGGGCCCCCAGACGTGCCTGGGAGCGCCCTCCTGTCCGCCTTCCCCTTCTCTGTGCCCAGAGTTCTCTCCAGCCCCCGTTCACTCTCCCTCGGGCGGCTCCCAGCGCCTCTCCAGCGCTCACCTCAGGGTGCTGGGCCGAGTGCCCCACTCCGCTGCTGGAGGCCTTGGGTCTGAGGGCCTGCTCAGTCGTTCCGTCCCTGCCCTGCGACGCCCCTGCTGCTCCAGGGGTGTGCCTCGTGCCTGTCGTCTGTGGTGGGACTAGACAGGAAACGACTTCCGAGCTCAAGACCCGTGGCCCTGTCAGTGGCCTAGTGTGAGCGACTGTGTGCTGCCCAAAGTCGGAATCACCGGGTCGCAGTCTCCCGGGGTTTATTGTAGCGTTGGGACTTCCCTGTAATTCATTTAAAGTTAATTTGTTTTAATCCTGGTGAATCTCAGGTATGGGTGGTCTGCACGCAGCAGACAATGACATTGTAGAATGTGTGCTTCCGTTCTGGGAGTGACCGCCGGCGACTTCCCAGCTGCCCGAGGCGGGCGGAGGTCCGGGCGGGGCGGCCCCGGGTGCAGGCAGGGCGGGAGCTCCGCTCACGTGCGCCGTGCTGCGGGAGCAGAGAGAAGGGAAACCCGTGCTCCCCGCTAGAGGGACCACTGGGCTATTTGTGGACTTACTTCCTCTGCACATCGAACCGAACTTTTGTAGCGTCAAGTTGGGTGGGGTGGAAAGAGTGCCAGTATTTAGTCCTAGCAGGGCCTCCGACCGGGCCCCCAGCTGAGGGCCGCACGGCCCGGGGGGCGGGGTTCGCAGCACAGGTCACAGCTCCTGTGTGGGCGCCCTTGGGCTTAGCGACGCCCCAGGGTGTGACGTCCCCGGAGGAAGGACTTACAGGAGCTCGTGGAGTGCGGCTCCCAAGAGACGGTGCTGTGCAGAGTCACGCAGTGGTGGACAGGCTGAATCTCCAGTGTGGCGGGGGGTTAGGGTTAGGGTTACGTAGATGTTACGCAGCTGTTAAGAACAATGTTAAATAGTATGCAGTCGTTAACAGAAAACACCTTTTTCCAGTTTTGTTGGGGCATAGCCGACCTCTGTCACTGTGTACGTGTAAGGTGTGCAGGGTTTGATTTACCTGGACTGTGCAGCAGTTGCCCTGGCAGGCGTGGTTAACACCCGTCGCTGCCTGTGGGCCTCGTTAAAGGAGAAGCCTCCCCGTGTGGCCTCCCTGAGGAGCCACCCTCTCGGCAGCTTCCCTCCGTGTCCGGCGCAGCGGTGGCGGCCGTCGTCGGCTTGCTGTGCGGCACCGTCCGGCGGGAGGGCGTTTGTCGGCAGCCGGGGTGTTCACGGTGCTGAGTTAGAAGCGGCGTGTTAAACAACAGTTATATTCCTGTATTCTTGGGGACCACATGTATAGACACACGTGTATGTGCGTGTGTGGAGAGGCAGAGTGTATATAAAAAACCAGAAGCATTAGGCGGGCAAGCGAGGGGATTGGAAAGATTTCTTCCCTTTGTTTGCTTATCTGTTAGTATAAGGAAGTGAATGTTGTAAAAATCAGATATGCCACTTTCCCTTGAGGTCTGTCCTAATTGTCCTAATAGAATTCTAATCCGAGCTCTCTAAAAACCTGACCAGACAGGGTCACACTCCGACACATGTAGAAACATTTGAAACAGACAGACAAAGCCAGGTCTCCTGCTTTGCTTCATAAAGAATTCCTTACCTTGAAGACCAAATGAGAAAATTAATTTTAAAAATCACCTCTAATTTCATTCCTTAAGTTTTGTAGATACAAATGCAAATTCACCACTTTGTCCGATAAGGTGCAGTAGGCCTCTAAAATGCACATGGCCTGCACCCTGGCTGGTGTGGCTCAGTGGACAGAGCGTCATCCTACAAGCTGAAAGGTTGCTGGTTCAGTGCCCAGTGAGGGCACGTGCTTGGGGGCTGCAAGAGGCAACCGATCGATGTTTCTCTCTCTCTCTCTTTCTCCCTCCCTTCCCCTCTCTAAAAATAAATGACATCATTAAAAAAAAATTCACGTGGGTTGCATGTTCTGAATGTTCCTTTAAGTCTAACACCTTTGTTTACCTAGGACAGGTTAATTTTTATCAAGTTTGAAAAACCTGTTTGGTAAAAATTAGCAATGATACTTGGTCAGTGTGTGGATTTTCTGTAGGTGTCTGTGTTGACTGATAAAGAGGAAATAAATGATTTTTTAATGAGTTGAGGAAGAAACCCTGTTTAAAATTTTACAAGCGGGTTTGTTTTGTTTCCCAGAAACTCTAAAAGTGAAGAGGCCTCGTTTTGACGTATCCCTGGTTTATTTAACTCGGAAGTTCATGGATCTCGTCAGAAACGCGCCGGGGGGCATCTTGGACTTGAACAAGGTGGCGACCAAGCTGGGGGTGCGGAAGCGAAGAGTGTACGACATCACCAACGTCCTGGACGGGATCGACCTGGTGGAGAAGAAGTCCAAGAACCACATTCGGTGGATGTAAGTTGGCCTCGGACCTCGGGCCCCCGCCCTCCGCACGGGGCGGCAGAGCCGCGCTGGCTGAAGTCCCGCGTGCTGGCGCCCACCGCGCCTGACTGCGGGGGCGCGGCCAGTGCGGCTTCCTTCAGAGAGGGCTGGCTCTGCGAGCTGTTTTCGCCTTGTCCCCCGCAGCCCGTAACATTTCCCTATTTAACAGTCATACGGTAGGGTGTTGTGGGTAAGCTGAGTGGAATATGACTGATTTTAAGGTGCCCGCTTCTCAGGACGCTCCCTCAGTTCCAGCTGATGTTGGTACCGGGGACGCCGGCGAAGGCGGTCGAACGGGGGTCTCCCGTGCTAGTGGGGCACGCACACCGGCCCCCGCCCCTCGGGCCCGCTTCCCCCGGCTCCGCCGGAAAGCGGGGTGCCCGTCTGCGTCCCCACGCGAGCACGACACAGCTAGGCCGCCCACTGCACTCAGAGACTCGTGGCCCCCCAGGGGAAAAAAATCACAGACCTAATGTCTGAAAGGCAGCTGGTACAGACTTAACCCGAGTTAGGAAGGAGCACCTTACGAAACAGATAAGTGTGTGCGTGTGCACGTAAGAAGAAAGCCGTTACACTCACAACAGGTGAGAATTTTGGACCAGTTCCGAACATACGGCGGGAAACAGGGTCAGCACGTCAGTACATGGAGACCTTTCAGGCGGATGAAGAAGCTGCCAACAGAGATCGTAAAATGAGTCTAAGTCATCAACTTAGTTATTAGGAAAACGGGGCTTACGGAGGAGGCATTTTTTCCAGTGGTCCAGAAAAGCAGATGGAATTCTCACTTGAATGCGTTTACTAAATCACATTAAAGGGCCAGTATCCGATTGTATTCTGAACCACTAAGCCGGGTTAGATTTGAAAACCAGCAAGCTAAAGACAGTGGTAACAGCCCATAAAGATGGAAGCAAACATGAATACCAGTTGTTACTCAGGTCCTACCGTATTGGGCTAAACAGTAATAACTCAAGAAAACGAATCGTTCGAGAACAGGGAATATAGTCGTCACGTCCGGGTGGAACCGGATAGAATGCGCACAGTAAGGAAGACCAGGGACTCAGAGTTGTAGCAGAGGGACTGCCCCTTAGCCAGCGCTCCTTGTTTCTTGTGTGTAGAAGTTAAAGGGATCATAGGTTGTATACAGCTTGTCAAAGCCATTCCACATGTAGCAGAGCTGGAGCTGAAACTGAGAGTTAATGATGCTTTAATTCGGCCGTCATTTAATTAGGCTTTCCCTGCTACTTCATTAAGTTTTCCCTACTTAATTAAGCTTCGTTAAGCTTTCACTGCTATTCATTTCCGTAGGGTTATGGTGTGTTTGGTTTTTCAAGTCCCCGTGTGCGGGCCTAGAGGTGGGGACAAAAAGCAGTTTGCACGCAGGAAGCTTGTGCGGCGGCTACGACGGTGGAGGGCAGAGGTCGGGTCGGAGTCGCGCTTGTCCTTGTCGGGGACGCTCCAGTGGCCTGATCTGCGTCCTCCTGTCACTGCGCCAACCCGAGTGTCGCTGACGGTGGCCTTTCCCTCTCGTGCTTCCGCAGAGGGTCCGACCTCAACAGCCTCGGGGCCGCGCCCCAGCAGAAGCAGCTGCAGGACGAGCTCTCCGACCTGGCCGCCATGGAGGACGCGCTGGACGAGCTGATCAAGGACTGTGCGCAGCAGCTGTTCGAACTGACGGACAACAAGGAAAACGAGCGATATCCTTTAACCGCGCCCCCTTAAGATTCTCCTCCTTGCAGAGCAGGCTACTACTTCAAGTAGTAGAGTTAGCTTGGGGGGTTAGCTAATGCGTGTGTGAGGAACAGAATCAGACCTTTAGGAGTGAGAGTAAGTGAAGGTTTAGTGAGACAGCCTCCCACCGGCCCAAACGACGCAGCGCAGGGACATGGCGTAGCCTCTGGCTCTCGGTGCGGCGACCCACCCTTGGGTCAGCGGCTGCGCCCAGCCCTCGGGGGCGCGGCAACTGCCGGGGCTGGCGCTCGCGTCTCCAGGCGGAGGAGCGTCTCCAGGCAGAGGAGCGGGGCGCTCTTGCTCCTGTCCGTAACCTGGCTGCTGTGATAAAGGCGGTGAGATAGTGGTTGGCTTCTGTGAAGTGCGGATCTTCCCATGTTTGTGGATTGAATTTTATTTCTGGAACGGGGTGAGTGGCCACTGAAATGGCCTTTGCGCTGCGGCTCAAGACCACGGAGCCCGAGGTGGTGCAGCCAGAGCCCGGGAGCTCTGGGGTCAGCGGGGGCCTGTCGCTGCGGCTGACCCTCGGGCTCCCCCTGGGCCGGGGCTCAGCAGTTCCGAGCTGTCCCGGGCTTCCAGTTCATATAAACTCCACACCAGCCTGAACTCTGGTTCCAGTAGCTGTTGAACGGGAAACAAGGGCTACCGTACGACACTCGATCAGAATGGAATGGTTATGGTTAAAGTCACATATTTTATCGAGGGAGTTAAGTTACTTGAATGTCAATGGGTTGTAGGCAGAGGAACGGAACATGTTAGAAGCCAGGTGCGCAGGTAAAGGAATCAGAGAACCGAAGCCCAGCAGGTGCTCTGAACCCGGCGTTTCCGAGCGGCCCAGTGAAGCGCTTCCCTGGGGCAGTTCCCCGCGAGACGACGGACGGGTGCAGAGATTCAGGTGGGGAGTGGGACAGGAGTTCGGGTGAGAGAATCTCATGAGTCGGCGCTGATCCTGAAAACTTATTCTCTGTGTTGTTTATACTTTTTACAGGTGTTTTTCCACCTTGCATTTTAGGGGGTTCTCACCAAAATAATATTTTCCCCCAGAGGTTCTCATAGTGAGACTCTGAGGTCCACGGGGAATGGGATGGGGTGGGTGGATTTGATGCCTTACGAGTCATGTTTGTGTTAGGAGTTCAGTTTATTAGTATTTTTCTTTAGAAGCTGTCATTAGAATCACAGTAGTACAATTTAAAGGAACTCTTTTTTTTTTTTTTTTTAAGATTTTACTTTATTCAGAGAGAGGGGAAGGGAAGGAGAAAGAGGAGGCAGACATCGATGTGCGGTTGCCTCTCACGCACGCCACCTACTGGGGGCCTGGCCTGCAACCCAGGCATGTGCCCTGATTAGGAATCGAACCCGTGACCCTTTGGTTCGCAGGCCGACACAATCCACGGAGCCACACCAGCCAGGGCAGAACTCTTTAAATTGAGTTACAAATATGGTAAAACACTAAAATCTTAAGAATTGTTCCTAGAGTAGTAAGAATTATGCATGAAAATGTTTTAATCAACTGTCCCCCCATTTGTATCCCATAAAAACTGAAGATATTCTGACGTTACTCTTGCATTCCTCTGTGACAAGAGCTAAAGTGTCTCCCCCAAAAAGCAGACCTCTGCGCACAGATCCTTGACTGGGGGCTACACTGGCGTACGTGACGTACCAGGACATCCACAGCATCCGCGCCTTCCACGAGCAGATCGTCATTGCGGTTAAAGCTCCGGCAGAAACCAGGCTGGACGTCCCAGCGCCCAGAGAAGTAGGTGGTCCTGGATTTAGAGAAGGTTTAAAGGGGGCGGGGCCCCTGCGGAGGCTGCAGATGTCGCGGACTCAGTGAGTGCGCGCCCCTCACGTGCCCGCCCGTCCACACAGCGGCTGCCGCTCGAGGCGCCGGGCACACTTGCCCCTGCTGTGGGTGACAGCGAGTGGCGTGGTCGTGCCGCCACCCTGTCAGAGGGGAGGGCCTGGGGCTCAGAAAGATGGACCCGCCTCCTTGCGGTCACACAGAAGAGGCAGAACCAGAATTCAGCCCCAGACAGCGTGGCCTCAGAGTTGGTCCTGGACCCGGGAAGGATGCCCCCCAGGGGAACCCCCGGGACGGGCCTCAGTCTCCGGGTTCCCGAAGCACGGCCGCCGCCAGCCAGGGTTCTGGGGAGTGGACTCGCGGGCCAGACTCGGCACAGACGGGTGGAGACACTGGCACATGCGTTCTGTGTTAAAAATGACAAGTAGTTGCCCTGGGAATGAAAATACTATCAAGCTCTCAGCTTCTTGACACGCTCCTTCCCTTGAAGGAATGCTTGTGTTAAAAGATAACTGCCATCAGAGGATTGCTTGGGGAGGGTGAGCCCAGGGAACGCGGCCGTTCTGGCGACAAAGCGGCAGTTCTGGCAGCCCACGGGTGCGCGTGGTGATGTCGGCGTTGCCGTAGGGGTTTTCCTCAGCGTGGGGAGTTCCTTGCCGCTCACCTCTCCTGTGTCCCCAGCAGACCACTGTCCAGGGGAGAGCCCCTGTCCCGCCGGGCGGTGTCTCGTAAGCTGACGAGGGAGCAGCGTGCTTTCAGTCCGTCGTACACCCAGGTCTCGACTTCTTGGGTGTGTTTCCTAGTTGGTGTGGACTTAGAGATATCCCAAGCATCCTAAGTAACATTTGTATTTATTTCACAGGGACTTAACTGACCTCCCCCCCTTTTTAATTAACTGCCAATGTTTTAACACTTTCTTTCTCTGGGGCCTGAGAGCCCGTCCTGTGGTGACTGGCAGGCTTGGGCCTTTCCCCGTGACCGAGATTGCCAAACCTTGCCGAGCCTCTGGTGGCGCCCGACCTTGCAGAGTCCCGCTTAAAAGCCGGTGCACCTGGGCCCCTCGGGCAGCCTGCTCACGAGGCGGAGAGTGTGCGGGGTTGTAGATGGGGGCACGTGTGTGCGGTGGTGCCGCTCTGCTCTGCCCAGGGAGACCGGGTGCCTCTTGCGGGGGCAGGCCCCGGCCCTCGGGTCCGGCGCAGCCTGCCGGTTTCCCGCAGACGGTTCTGTTGGGACGTGCTCTGGGCCCGCGTGTGCAGCTCCGGGCTCTGGCTCCTTTGCTCTGCGGGCAGAGTTGTGTGGCTGTGACGGGTGGGGCAGCCCCCGAAGCCAGAAGCCTTTCCCGCCCCCTCTTGCAGGCGGAAGGTGTCTGCCGGCCCCGATTGTGTCGCGTGTGACGCCCTCGGCTGGCTGCCGTCCGAGCAGCGTGCCGGTTTCTTCCGTCGCTGACCAGTACCCGTCGAGTCGCACAGTGCACCCGGCCGGGTGGCTGGTGGCTGGTGGCTGGGTGCACGTGCTCTCCAGCCCACCGTCTGGTGCGGGGGGCTGTGGAGAGGTGCCCACGAGGTTTTGTGGCTGAAGGGCTGCGTCTCCCTGGGCTGTCCGGGGTCCCGGTGAGGTGTGTGGCCCAGGCCCACCCGCACCAAAGCGGGGACGGGCCTGCAGTGGGGCCGCTGCAGGCAGAGCTGCTAACGAAGGGATCTCTTGCAACCGGAACCGTTTCTTAAGAAGTTAGCGTAACTCTCAGTGGAAGTTCCCAGGTTCCTGTTACGTCGTGCATCTTAGTGTTCTCACTTACACGAGGTGTTAATCTTGTCTTGACGTCACCCTCCCTCCCAAGTGGAGTGAGAGTGCTCCTTCCTATTAGCGCCCCCGGGGTCGGGGGTGGGGGGGGTGGGGGGGTGGGGGGGTGGGGCTGAACTCGGCCTTGCCGTTAGAGACCGTGGGGGCCCTCGCTGCTCTGTCGTTGGTTGGAGCACTGGTGCCGATCGATGCTCCCGCACAGGCGCCTCCCGGGGCCAGTCGGCTCCTGCGACGGCTCTCTCTGGGGCGCTCGGGCCCTACCCTGCCGTGGCTCCGCGGCCGCGCGCAGGGGGCACGCAGCTGGTGTTAGCAGCGCGGATTGGCCGGGGGCGGGGTTAACGTGGCTGAAGCTCAGTACGCGGTTTCTCAAATACATGATAGAAAGGGAACCGTCCGCATGGAAGTGTCAGCAGTTCCCCGGAAAGGTTCGCGGTTCTCGAACGTGAACCCCGCGTGCGCTCACTGCTCTCTCTCTCTCTCTCGCTGCCGCCGGGCGTCTCCCGCCAGGACTCCGTCACCGTGCACATCCGCAGCACCAAGGGGCCCATCGACGTGTACCTGTGCGAGGTGGAGCAGCGGCGCCCCCGCGGCCGGGCGCCCGCAGGCGCTGGGGGCTCGTCGTCCTCGCAGAGCAGGCGCCCGGAGAGCCCCGCGGAAGGTGAGCGCGCCGGTGCTGGGGTCTGGGCAAGTTCAAGGGCCCAGTGATCTTTAGTTATATAGTGGTTTTTAAAAAAACTATTGGGGCGACATCCGTCAGTAAAATGGTGTGGGTTTCTGAGGAAAGGAATTAGGGTACGAGTAAGTGGAAGCATAAACCCTATTTCATGGATAGGAAGACTTAACATCGTTAAGGTGTCCGAACGACCCAAAGAAATCTGTGGATTCAACACAATTCCTACCGAGACACCAGTGGCGTATTTCACAGAAAACAGATATTCCAGAAACATGCGGGGAGCCACGACGGGCCCCGGGCAGCCACGGCAGCCCGGAGAAGGAGCAGCAGAGCGGAGGGGTCCCGCTGCCCGGCCCCCGCCCCCACGGCAAGGCCCCTGTGAGGAGGGAGCGAGCCCGGCGCAGGCGTGAACACGCACACGCGGGTCGGTGTGGCAGGGCGGGCGGCCCGGCGGCGCCCCGTCTGCGCGGGGGTCGGCGTCTGGCGGAGGGGGCGGGCGCGCCCGGTGGGCGCGAGCTTCCGTGCGGTAAACGGCGTCGGGAAACCAGACAGGTGACGCGCAGAACCAGGGCTGAGGCGAGACCGCCTTCTCACACCGTACCTGAGAATAAACTCAGAGTGTACTAAAGACTTGAATGTCAGACTCGAAGCCACAAAAATGCTAGAAGAAAATGTGGGCACGAAGTCTAGGACATTTCTGGTAGCAGTATTTTTTCTGATGCGTCTTCTCAGACAAGGGAAACAAAAGAAAAACTGCACAAATGGACCACATCAAATAAAGTGTTTTTTTTATTATTTTTTTAAAGATTTTATTTTATTTTATTTTTTAGAGAGGGAAGGGAGGGAGATAGAGAGAGAGAGGGAAACATCAATGTGCGGTTGCTGGGGGCCGTGGCCTGCAACCCAGGCATGTGCCCTGACTGGGAATCGAACCTGCGACACTTTGGTTCACAGCCCGCGCTCAATCCACTGAGCTACACCAGTCAGGGCAAACTAAAAAATTTTGCAAAGCGAAATAAATCAGCAACAAAACAAAAAGAAAACCCGCCGAAGGGGACAACATACATGTCGACGATAATAGTTATAAAAATTGCACGTTGTGGTCTTGAGATGGTTTTGCTCTCCCTAGCTGCAGAAACACAACTCTGAACATCGCAAGGTAATTCCTAACGTAGTTTGCAGTGTTTCTGACACCCTCACAGTGGCACTCCGTGCTGTTCTGGTAAGAGTGAGAAGTGGGGGTTGCGGGGGGGCCCCGCTGGTGCTGGGGGACGCTGGAGAGCAGGCTGTCGGCCGCCTCGACGGGCGCGCCCTCGGGTGCGTGTTGGCGTCCGGTCTGCTCTGGTGACTTGAAACGCTGGCCTTACGCCACTGACACACGGGTACGGTTTTTGACCAGGGTTCTTCCATTTTTTAAAGCAGTTGAAGTGTATGTCCTGTTACCTGATTGCCTTTTAAAGCCTCACTTAGAAGACCTTTCCTTTTTGTTACTTTCCAGAAGAAGCTCCTCCGCAGCCGAGTGAAGAATTGCTCGAGGTGAGCAACTGACAGGAGGACCCGAGGAGGCGTCCCCCGCGTTCTGGGGCATCCCCCGGACGGCCAGGCGTCCGGCGTGGTCCTCGGAGCAGCGCGCCCGCCCGCGCGAGGTCCCCTTCCTCTCCGCCAGCAGCAGCAGCAGCAGCGAGGCCAGTAGCGTCTTGGCGTAGTTCCCTACTCAGACTGGGTGGATGACTATGGTTTCTGCATTCAAAAGAACTTATAATTCACTGCTGTCTGTCGGTGAGACGGACCCCTTGCCTGCCGAAGTAGCTTCCTCCGACAGACCCCCGCCCAGACGGCCAGGCCCGAGGGGGACAGTCCTCCGCGGGCCCCGCCCCCCCTCCAGGGACCACGTGTCGTCCCCACAGAAGCGGCTGTCTTACATGAGGTCAGGTCTGCGGTCGGCTGCTGGCCGTCGGGGGGTGCGCGCACGCATCTAGGTGTGACGTCCCTGTACATACCTGTGTCGTGTTTCGATGACCTGTGCGCATCTGAGTGAACCTCCCCACCGTTGTACAGCCGAAGTAATGTATATATGGAAGCTCATAGGCAAATGCTCTAACTTCTGTGGTATCTGTAATTTATTAGAATCCTCTGAGTGAGGGTTAGACAAGAGTACCGTAGATGTGCTGTACACCTTAAGTTCACGCGTTTGATTAAAGAGTTTCGGCCAGGCTCCCAGTGCTGGAGTTGGACTTCAGGCTGCCCGCAGGTGCTGTGTCTGCGCAGACCCGTGGCGCGGCCCGCGCCTTCAGGACGCGTGGGGGAGTGCCCTCGGGGAGCGGCTCAGCCACGGCGACCGCCGGAAGCCACTCACACAGACCTTGTCGCCCGCGGATCCTGGGAGGCGTCTCTGCGCGCCGCAGCCTGCTCTTCAGGCGGGGGGGTTTGCTGAAGCGTCGGCCGCACCTGTCCCCTCTCCAGCCCTGGTCCCCGTTGCCAGGGACCTGGCCGTTCTACCTCACCGGGAAGCCCTTCACCGCCCTGTGCCTCCGCCGCCCCGTAGTGTGCCGCTAGACTGTGAGCTCCTTGAGGGCCTGGGTCTTAATCGTCGCCGTGCCCAGAGCCGTGCGCCGCGCCGGGCACGTAGACAGTGCTCAATAAATGTTTGGACACCACACCAGTGAGTGAGCGAGTGAGTGAGTTGTAAAACTGCACTGACAGTGCTTGGCTCGTCTGCCACACGGGACTCTTGTGAGCGTCCTCCAGATTCATGTGTCCAACGTCTCGCTTTCAAAGAGAAATCTGAAGCAACTTGAAATTAAAACCATGGGTAAAAAGATTAAAAATAGGAATCAAAAATTAAAATATTGAAAAATAAGGCTGAGTGTTTAGGACTCACGTACCTCCGCGCCCCAGTGTGTGTGTGTGTGTGTGTGAGAGAGAGACCCGGGGTCTGTGAAGCGGGGCGAGCAGGTGTCAGTGTGTGTGTGTGTGTGTGAATGTGAGAGAGAGAGAGAGAGACCGGGGTCTGTGAGGCGGGGAGAGCAGGTGTCAGTGTGTGCGTGTGCCCCCCAGAGCCCGTGTGGGGGAGGGCTCCCGAAGGCACAGCAGGAGGGGAGGAAAGGCCCCGGGGCGTCCGCATTGCAGGGGGGAAAGGAGGAAGCAAAAGCTCCTCCTGAGAAGGAGTAATGGGGGAGGGGGGTCAGGAAGGCAGTCCCCCCAAAACCAGCACAGGAAACATGGCCCGAGGTGACAGCGTTGCCTCTGAGCAGCGGCTCCTTCCTTGTGACCCGTGACGAGTGTCCTGCATGACGGGCGAGTCCGAGGTAGAGTGAGAGGATGTAAACAAAGAGCTTTTGGAACCGAAGATGTGTTGCATAAAGGGGTGTTTCCCGTCACTCTGTCTGCTGGGGGCTGATTGCTTCGTGCAGCTGCTCGGCAGCCCAGAACCGGCTCCCGGCCCGCCCTCCCCCTCCGTCCTGACGTCTGCCCGTCTCTGCCTGTGATCGGCCTCGAGTGCCCCTTAACCAACCCTGTTCCTAAACCCCGGCTGTTCCCGTGGTTCCTTCAGGTGGGCAGGCGCCCACACTCCCAATCCAGGAGGCCTCCAACCCGCCCCGGGCCAGCTTCCCATCTTGTCACCCGCCACGCCGGCCCTCAGCCCAGACCACACTGGGCCGGTCGCTGTGCCTGAAACCCATCGCAGTGTCCCACCCCCTGCCTCGGCTCACCCTCTGCCTCGGCTCTGACGCTGCCTGGAATTGTCTTCCTCTGCTCTGCTGCTGCCGCCACAGCCACAGCCCCGGGCTGCAGCCAGCTCCAGCCCCGCCTCCCGCTTCTCCACCTGTACAGTCCACACCGGGCATCTGACAGCCTCAGCTTGCGGGGGGGCGGGGTTCCCCACTAGCATCTGTGCCTTCAGAGTGTAGGGACCCTGTCTCGCGGGTCTGTGTCCCCCACATTGCCGTAGTGTTCAGTACCCGTCTGCTCAGTAAGGAAAGTGACCTGACTCTGTTCAGCCCAGTTCCCAAGAATTTAAAAACAAAGCTTGACTTTTCAAAACTACACACCAACACGCTGGACCTAACACTAAAAGAAAACAATTACCCTGTCTCACTTCCACGTTGTGTGAGAAGTTCCAGCACGCATGCCTGATTGTCCCTCCCCTCAGCAGAAGAGGGACACCTCTGTGCTGTGAGCGCACTTGTCAGGAGGGAGGCTGCGACCTCCAGAGTCCTGTCCCCACTTGTCTCTCCCGACTCCACTTGTGGACGGTGGATGTGAGGGGAGGCTAAGGGATTTGTGTAATGATTGCCATCTAGTGGAGAATTAACGGTTACTGAGCCCTGACTGGTGGCTCAGTTCATTAGAGAAAGTACCCCAAGGTTGTGGGTTCGATCCCCCGGTCAGAACACATACGAGAAACAACCAGTGAATGCATCAGTGAGTGGAACAATAAATCGATATTTCTCCCTCTCTAAAATTAGTAGGTTTTTAAAAAATTTATAAAACAGCTACCTAGATTTCTTATTTCAATTATGCAAATGCTAGAGAATGGCATTTGTTAAAAAATTTCAGATCTCATTCTGGTTGATGGTTGATTAAAGTGAACTGATACTAATTTTTACATACTAGAGTTTAAATGGAATAACTTGGGAAGAAAAGTCACAGCTGTTGAGAAATCAGCATGAAAAAGGTAATGTACTGGCTGGCGTAACTCAGTGGATTGAGCACAGGCTGCGAACCAAAGCGTCACAGGTTCGATTCCCAGTCAGGGCACATGCCTGGGTTGCAGGCCACGGCCCCCAGCAACCGCACATTGATGTTTCTCTCTCTCCCTTCCCTCTCTAAAAAAATAAATAAATAAAATCTTTAAAAAATATATACTTCTAAATTTAAAAAAAGGTAATGTAAAAAAAATAACAGTAATAAACCTCACCTGGAGAGGTTCCAATTTTCTCTCATCAGCTTTTGAAAGACAAATACTATATGATCTCACTCACATGTGGGATCTAATGAACACACTGAACTAACATGGAAAATGGGGACAGACTCACAGATGGAGGGCTGGATGACAGCTGGTGCGGGTGGGATGAGGTTACGGGGTGGAGGGTTGGGCAAAAAGGAACAAGGACTCATGGTCACAGACAACAGTGTGGTGATTGCTGTGGGCAGGGGATATAAGGGGACGAAATGGTAATGGGAAAAATACACAATGAAGATTAAATATCTTAAAGACCCAATAAAGATTAAGTTTTTAAAAAGAAGCATCAGCACCCCTCAGCCATGTCAAAGTGTCTGCTCTTGCCAAAACGCAGCCCGCAGAGACCTTGACGGCAGACGCCCCGCAGAACGTCGCGTTGGTCCGTGACCTCGGACCTGTGACCGGAGAGCAGCACATGACCTTGGATGTCCTAGTGAGACCTGTGTGGGAAGGGCAGTCGGCAGACCCATCTCTTGCTACCAAGTACCGTGTCCGCCAGGGCACAGTAACAGAGGTGAGTTAACACAAAGCCCAGGTAGCAAGAGGGGACTTGGAGGTACCAGATACTAATAACTCAGGAAGCAGCTACCACCCCAGGACACGGTGTAGGGTCACCCTGACCGAGGAGCTGTGAGGAGAGGTCCCCGCGTCTCTGAAGGAGGTGCCACACTGATGCTTGGGCCTCTGATGGGGAACAAGACACCCACCCATCGGTGGGTGCTCCAGCCTCTGGGGTAAGACCTAATGGCGTCCACACCACTAGGGGGCGCAGGACCACTGCGGGCACTTCTCAGGGGCACAAGGGTGTCAGAAACTGGTGATGGGTGTCCTGCAGGTTGCCTTGGTCAGCCCTTACACCAGTGTACACCATTGCCAAAACCCACTGATCAACACACTTAAGATCTGTGCATTTTATTATTCATAACTCAATTTCTTTAAAAAAAAAAAAACCTTTAGCCATAGGACCATTTACAATTTACCCCCAAAGAAAATGAAATACGTAGGTATACACTTAGGAAAACACATATAGCATCTATATGCCAAAAGTTACAAAGTGCTGGTGAAAAAAGATCGAAGAGGACCCTGATCGAAGACTCTTCCTCGACGACAGGAGAAGCGCAGGACTGGACTCAGGCCGAGCAGGAGAGCAAGGCAGAGGCGGCGGCCACGGACCCCTGGGGAGGAGACGGACCGCATCGGGACACCTGTTTGGCGTCCATGCGCTGATCTGATTTCTCTCATTTCGTGAAATATTTCTTAACCTCCGATTGGCGTTGGTGGCTCCATCAAGATAAATAAAAAAATGTGCGGGTGCTGGAAAAGACCAGGCTGACCAGAAACACTGGAATGTCGCCTAGTTCAAACCCTTTTCAGAGTCGTTTCTGGCTGGCACGCGGTTACTCATGCAGGCGTGCCATCTGGTGACGGACACCGACGTGCTATTTATAGCAAGGCCCCCCCGACTGCCCCGCACTCGTCAGCTTTCGGAAGGAGCTGGGCATCGTGTCCAGCACTTGGCAAAATTCTTTCAGAGGCTCTCGTGAGAGCCTCGGTCGAAAATATCCTCACCAGCCAGAGTGGTTGTCTGTAGACAGGTGCTCGTCGTAGAGTTGACTGTGGAACTAGGTTTCCAGTCTTTTTAGAAAACCACTGTTACCAGTGACGCTGCCAGGTTTATTTAATCTGGCGCAGAAGAGGAACCGGGTGGTAGGGAGACGGTCCGTCATGCTTGGGCCGTGACTAGGAGCAATTTCGAGCAATGCCTCGATCTGCTTTTGTGAACTGTGCTGCATTTTATTGGCCACAGTTATCATCTACGCACAATAATGGCCCCTTTGGTTGAATCCTGATCGTGGGCCGCCACTGGAGCAGGGGCACAGACAGGTGCATCTGCCGTTATCTTATCAGGGAGGTGTCGCCACCCTCGGTCTAGGAATGGGAAAGCCGAGGCTCGAGAGGCTGCATGGCCTGCCTGCCCACAGCCACACCACGAGTCAACGCGAGAGCCAGGCTCGGACCCGAGACAGGGTGACTCACAGTCCCCAACACTCTTTTAAAACGAAGGTGACAACCGTGCCGGACTCTGTGATGTACGCATCTGGACTTCTCTGGGCTCCGTGCTGGAGCCACGAGAAAATGCCTTCATCTTGGGATGATTCTTCAGAAGCTGTGGCAGATATTAAGTGTCAGATTGTGACAACCAGACTACCTCGTTCCATTCCTTCCACCGCTGATCAATTCTTTTCTTTTTGTCATTTTTTAAAAGATCTTATTTACTTATTTTTAGAGAGGGAAGGGAGGGAGAAAGAGAGAGAGAGAGAAACATCAATGTGTGGTTGTTGGGGGCCGTGGCCTGCAACCCAGGCATGTGCCCTGACTGGGAATCGAACCTGCGACGCTTTGGTTCGCAGCCTGAGCTCAATCCACTGAGCTATGCCAGCCAGGGCTTTGATCAATTCTTTCTTGCGTTGACCAGAACAGATGGGTATGGACGCACGCAGTGTCGTGAGGCCAGGTGAGAAGAGGCCACTGGACTAAGCAACCAAGCAGCAGGACTGGTCTCTGAGTCTGGCTTTGCAGTTTGCTGACCAGGCTGTCGCAGGCGTGCAGATTGCACCTGCCACTGCCGTGGAAGCGTGCACGCCGCGTCTCCGTGGGGCTGTGTACACGTGCGCAGAGATGCGTCCTAGGGTAGCTGTTCAGATCTTGATTTACATTCAGATCAGGAACTGGATTTGAGGTACTTCCAGCACACGGACCCAAAATGACGCCACAGCGAATCTGGAAAGTTACCACCAATGCCTTGAAATACGGCATTTGGACTTCCCCTTCACATTGGATCAGATGGTGTTTCCAACATCTTATGAAAATAGGCAGCCCAGTAATTTTTCTTTGAAACAGAGTTCAGGAAAGTGGGGCAAAGGGCAAATGGGCGTAGAAAAAATAAACCAGGGGAGAGGTCGGTATGCAGAGCGCACGCTGGGAAGCGCGTGTCATTCCATCCCCGCTCAAAAATAAACCGGCACGGCCCCCTTTCCCGAAAGCGCGGCTTCTGGATCAGGAATCTCCATCTGTTTTTCCAGCAGCGGAACTTCTCGTCCTTGTTCATGCTTCGTTCTCTCTCTACCCTGCCGTAGGAAACATTCCACTTGATTTTTTGTCTGCTGTTTCCCTCTCGGGCAACCTTCCACGGCAACCCGAGCCGGGGAAAGCTCACTTGGGCTTTTTTAAACGAGCGATCGGAGGGAGCATTTGGGGACTCATTTGTCAGGGACAGTTGGAACATCTTCTCCGGGTAAAGCCCACGATTCCAACTGGGGACGCAGAGCCAGGGATCAGCTGTGTGGTATTCTCACATCCACCCGACGTCAGCATCGGGCCTGCGGCATCTTCAGGAGCTCGTGGCGTGGGCTGGCGCCACGCGGGCGGGTCGCCCCGGGGAGAGCCGCTCACTTGCCATGTGCTGACGAAGCTACGATCCGGTGTGCTACCAAGACCTTTCTTCTAGAAATAGCTGTCACCAGGACAGAGGGATTGAATATTTGTTGGACAGTTGTATGAAGAACCCCACGCTAATGTGAACGGGCAAAATTTAACATGAAGACGTGTTAACTGGAACAGGAGAGTGGAGTGATGAAGGATTGCCTAAAAAGAAGTAAACTCTAAAGAATACAGAAATGGAAGATAGGAGGAGGAGGAGTCCTTACACCCAGGACTCGGGTCAGGAGTCCAAGGTAAGAGGCCGCTCCCAGCCCCAGGCTGAAGTCCAGATCACACAGGTGCAGTGGGGCCGGCGGGGCTCCCTGGAGAGCCCAGGAGCACTGTGGGGCTGGGGCTGCGCAACCCACAGGGTCCCGACGCCTGACCACAGAGTCAACGAGGGTAGGAATGTGCTTTACATCTTCTTGGGGGGCCAATATTTTGTTACACAGCAATAACAAAAATTATAAAGCTCTTCAGGGTAAGAGTGAGCTGGCCATCTCATTCTATAAATCATCTACACCAAAACACATGAACTCGTTATATTTAAATCTTCCCTCCAGCCCTGGCTGGTGTAGCTCAGTGGATTGAGCACGGGCTGTGGACCAAAGGGTCGCCGGTTTGATTCCAGGTCAGGGCACATGCCTGGGTTGCAGGCCAGATCCCCAGTGGTGGCCATGTGAGAGGCAACCACACACTGATGTTTCTCTCCTTCTCTTTCTCCCTCCCTTCCCCTCTCTCTAAAAATAAAACAAATAAAATCTTTAAAAAATAAAATAAAAAAATCTTCCCTCCAATAGTATATTGCTGCAATCTTCCTTCTCTTCTGCTAAGTATCACTACGGAAGAGAAAGCCCAATACTTTTAAACTTGTTACACTGCCTTATGGCTCTATTTGACCTGCGTCCCTCCCCCCTCCCAAAAGGAACGATTTCAGAAGTGTGTCACAGGTCTCCTTACTTTGAGCAGTCTAAGAAAGAGTTAATAAAGCAAGATGAAAAACTAAACCAAAGTCGTTTTTAGTGAGGCACAGTTGACCTATAACATTGTATCAGCTTCGGGGGCACAGCATAATGACTCAGTACTTGTAGATACTGTGGAATGAATGATCCCCACGTGACTCTGGGTAACATCCGTCACCTCTCACAGTAACAGTTTTTTTCTTGTGATGAGAACATGGAAGATCTGCACTCTTAGCCACTTTCAGATCTGCAGCCAGGTCATTTTTAATTCTATCCCAATCTAAACAGGAAAGTACCAATAACCCCTGCGCTGCAGCAGCATCCGGGAATGTGGCCACGTCATCTTCATGAAGCTCCGAAGTTTGGAACGTTGACTTAGCAGAAGAAAACGTACTTGCCCAAAAGATGCCTTTTAAAAAAGCTCCCCTTTTTAGCTTTGGACCATAAAACCATTTAATAAAGAAGATGGGACAGGCAGTGACCTTTAAACTCACCCAAATCATGAATTCATATATCAAGAAAGAGGGAAGAGCCCTGGCTGGTGTAGCTCAGTGGACTAAGCACTGACCTGGGAACCAAAGGGTCATGGGTTCCATTCCCAGTCGGGGCACATGCCTGGGTTGTGGGCCAAGTTCCCCAGTGTGGGGTGTGCGGGGTGCAAGAGTCAACCAAAGATTGATGTTTCTCTCCCTCTCTTTCTCCCTCCTTTCCCCTCTGTCTAAAAATAAATAAATAAAATATTTTTAAAAAAAAAGAAAGAGGAAAGAATTAGGGCTCCATAAAACCTGGGCTGGAAAATAAGCACTATGTCCGTATACGGTTCATATATGTGGCCTTGGGCGAGCTGCCCTCCCTGAACCCCGTTTCTCCCCCTGTCAGGCAGGGTGAGAGGGTCCCCGTCCTGCTTTGCTGATCAGATGACGTGAGAGACAGGGGAGCACTTCATGACCCTGCCAGACGAGGCACAGGCGGCTGCCCCTCTCCACGAAGGGCCGCCTTGGACAACGGAGACAAGACAACATAAACCGGAATTCTATCCAGGCAATTCAGGGCAGCATCGAAAATAATAAAGCAAACAACGAAACAAGACCTCCTCCAAACATTTCCATTCTTTTTTTCCCCTTTTAGTCCTCGCCTGAGGATATATTCATCGATTTGAGAGAGACAGAGTAAGGGGGAGAGAGAGAGAAACATCCATCGGTTACCTCCCCTATGTGCCCCATCGGGGGATCGAACCTGCTACCTAGGTATATGCCCTGACCAGGAATCAAACTCCCAACCTCCCAGTGTATGGGACAGTGCCCCAACAAACTGAGCAGCCCGGCCAGGGCTGGACATGTTCGTTCTTGACCAGCAGTGCTGCGGGTAGACACAGGTGCCCGTTCTTATGGGTCGTGGTGATAAGGGGACTGGGCACTGATGGCAGCCACCTCACTGCCCCTCCCCGCAGGTCTTGCTTTGCCTTGAGCAAGCTCATCCTCCCCTGCGGCTGCCAGAGGGCTTCCTTCCCCAGCACCTCCGCCCACGGAAGGAGCGGCAGCCACGGTTGCATCGCAGAGGCGCAAGTGCAATTCCAATCCCTAAGATCAGCTGCCAGTCCCCTTTGGGTCTTACACCTCCTTCTGGCTGAGTGTCCCAACTGCAGCAGCCCCGCCCCCTCCTGCTGCTCCGTGCATGTAAATGCTAACGTTCTACTTTCTCCTTGCCTACCTGGAGGGTCCCTCAGGGACCAGCCGAGCCCACCCTGGCACAAGAGAGAAAGGGAAGACGGGGAGAGGAGCAGGCTCCCGACTGGCTGTCACACATCTTGCAGAGCGGAGCTCCTCTTTCCGTAATTACTTCCCCCCAGATAGTGCTGCATCTAGCCCATGCTCCTGACGGCGGGCCAGCCGCCTGCTTGCCATCTCCAGCTGGATGACTAATACGTTTCTTCCGCTTAACTTGTCCAAGCAGAACTGCTGCTTCCACCCGCCCACTTGAACTTGCCCCTCCCCCAGTCTACTCAATTTCAGGTAATTGCCCAGTTACCCAAGCCAAAACCCCAGCCTCACGCTTGATTTGTTTCTTTCTCTCGCTTCCCTGTTCAGCTCACCAGCAAGGTAGAACTGAAGGGCTCCACCCTCAGAATCTACCCTAGGTTCTGAGGTTACTCTTACCCCTTCAGGGACTGCCAGCAAGCCACCATCACCTCTCACTTGGGCCTCTGTGACAGCCCCGACTAGAGTCCCTGGCTTCACACGTGTTTTCCCTGAGTCTCCACACAGTGGCCAGAGTGACGTTTTAACACCATGAATCAGGTCACATCGTTCCCCTGCTCGAGGGCCGCAGTGGCTGCCCGTCTCATAGCAACACCCAGCTCCACGCCACGTCCTCTGAGATCCTGCCTGCTTCTGCCACTGTCTCCTTAACTCCCTCTGCTCTCACACCGAGGCCTTCCTGCTGCTCCTAGAACCCAGCGTGCTCATTTCTGCCCCAGGACATTTGCACTTGCTGCTTTTGCTCTTAAAATGCTTATTACCCACACTGTGGCATGGATTATTGTCTCACTATTCATGCTCTGATTGAACTGACCTTGACCACCCTCCAGAACAGTGTGCCCCACCAGCCACTCCACTCCTTTGTCCTGCTTTGTTCCCTTTTCAGCACTATCTCCACATGAAATCATGTTATACATGTGCTTGCTGTGTGTCTTCCACACTGGTACTTATGCTCTGTCAGGATGGGACCCTAGTCCGTCTTGGCCTTTGCTTTCTCCAGCAAAACCTATCACATACCAATTGCATATCACAACATTTATTGAATGAATGGATCAGCCAAAACTAGTATGTAAAATTTGGGACAATCCCAAATTTCTTGAGAAACAACTTGTGAACTTAATACACCACAGGTGTGTGTGTGGTTTCTTGGCTCAGGGTTCTCACAGAGACGATTTTATCTCATGAACCTATAGTGATTACAAAGGAGAGCAATGATGGAATATTGGAAGTGCGTTTTGTGGAAGGAACCTGCTAACTGGGCCTTGGGATTCCTGGTCGGCTCCTTGTTTTCCTGCGGCACATGTAGGCCCTTCCACCGGCTCAGCCCCAGGTGCTTTCCCGGACCGCGTGGCTCCCAGCAGAGCCGTGGGTCGATTCAAAGCAGGTGAAGTGTTCCCCCTGGGGGACCCGATTTAGTCTCTCCAGACCCGGTGTTCACAGAGGACCTCCCAGAAGTCCTCGGCAGACAGGCCTCAGACCTGTAGGGGGCGCTGACGGCACACGTCCATTCTGCAACGCCTCGGGGAAACCGGGGTCCGGGAAATGTAACTATTCCTTCAAGTGGACTGGATTAAAGAGGTCACTGGATTTTATCAACATCCAAGATGTTCCCTTACTCCTGCCAGAGTTTGAGGAATTGAAAGATTCTTTAGACTCAAAATGTCAAGTGGTCAAACTGGGTTCCTACAGCCCATGTAACGTAGGATTTTATCGCAACTCCGGGCCCACTCCGTCTTCATGGGCGTCCCTGTCCGTCTTGCCCGCACACATGGCCAAGGCGGTGGCTCCAAATGATGGTTGAGAAGGCCCAAGAGACACGCTGTTGAGATTCTGCCTGGACCCTCCAAAAGCCAGCTCTCAACATCATACAGAAATCCGGTGGGTTTGTTGAGAGAACCCCGCAACTTTGCATCTTGCAACCGGAGAGCAAAACGAGGGGACCTTCCTGTTCGGTGATCTGAAATCGCTAAACAAAATGAAAGTCATTCTATTAATAGTTTATTTATGACACGATCACTAGGTCAGAATGAATTCTCAAATCTTGCTTCTAAATGGTATTAGGTAAGGAATATTCCGGTACTTTAGGGACTGGTTTATGTTTGTCTCTTCACGCATCACCTGCAGTCAATCTTCACCCGAAGACTGATTATCTTGTGGGTGCAAAACAGCTTTCAGCAGCTGCTGGAGCTTCTTCCTTCACCTCCAACGAAAACAGGAGAGTCTTTGTTTCAGCATTTCCGGCCAAAGGCTTGATCTTCACCCTGATTGGCTGCTCAGAGGGCATGGTTACCGTCAAGCCAATCACTGTGCCTGGGGGTACGGAGCGCACTCATTGGCCCAGCCAGGTCCTGTGTTCAACCTCCGAAGCTGGGAGGGAGAATCTACTTCCTTGGAACCACGTGCCTCCGCAAAGGGAGCAGCAGGGACGGATGCCTGGAGACAATCAAACGCTTATTATGTTCACTCTCTTCTGGGTGTCGAATACATTTGTCAGCAGTTTTATCAAGGCGCCGATCATCCTTTTCATATATTTTATTCCAGGATCTGTACCTCGCCCGAAAACCGCTTGGGCTCAGAGACTGTCTTCCTCATATTGAGGTCTCCCTGCGAGCTTTTCACATAGTTGGTGCTTAATGAAGTTTTGTGCATGTGAATTGCATTTTTCAAAAGGAAATGAAGACGTTGTTCTCATACTTTTAAATTCCCGAAGGACCCGATTCTGTTGTTTTCTGCGCATTGATGAGTCCCTTCTCCGGGAAGTAAGGCTAATCCCAGGCTGAATTAAAGGCAGTCACGTGCTGCAACCTGACCCCGCCAGAACATTTTAGTCCTTTCAGAACGAAGCTGAATGTGCACTGCATTTTTGGTGAGTGAATGTGTGGATAGTTATAAATAGACACAGAAAAACACCAGGGCTGTGTGAACTTGCTTGGCGAGGACCCCGGATTTGGATCCCCCCAAATATAGCCTGCTGACAACTCACCGCGGGCATTTTTTTTCACACAGTTCATCATTTCTAGCATTCTGAACAACCGTCCTGAGTATTTGTTCAGCAGTACTTCTTTTTTCCCCGTTTTGGCTAAATGTGGGGCTTTTTCTTTTCAAGAGAGATGAGGTTCTTAGGCACAGAGAAATATATACCCGGGCACTTGGCTGTCATAGAATTCTCTATAGGCAGTTCTGTCTCATGTCCGTGGGAGTGGTTTAAATCTGGAAGTCTCCGAAGACCTCCATCTCACTCTCCTGAGCCAATGGCAGGAACCCAGAGGAGAAGGCCCGGGGTGTAGGTTGCAGACACTGTTGCCGTCGGATAGTCCCCTGACCAGAGCCGGGGCTCGGGAAGGCCTGCAGCCGTGCGTGTCGAAGCCCCCTGCCTCCTCCCATCACTGTCCCACTGGTGTGCCACCTGTGTTTCTCTCCCTTCCTCTCCAGGTCTCCAAACCCCACCCAACTTTCCAAGTCCAGCCTCACTGAGTGATTTCACATGTCTGATTAAGGCTGATCCAGGAGTTCTCCAGCACAGGGTTCTGTCCATGTCCAAACGGTCAACTGGGTCACAGAGTTTGAGGTCAATGTAGATGTTCCCACGTAATCAGTGAGGGTCTCGATTCCAGGCTAGACCACAGAAGCCCATGGAACCCAGACGTGTTAATGATATCCTGGGTGAGACTTTGGCGTCAGCTTTTGAAAGAAAATAGGCTTGACTGGCATCTTCAGGTAGCTCCTCCCCCTTGGCCTTGACCCCCTTCCTCCTGTCTCACAGGCAAAGAGGGTGGATGTGCAGAGGTGAGCCCCCATCAGAACGCAGTGAGAACAAAAGCCACACCTTCTCGAGTAGCTGTAACCATCCAAGACTGTCTGCCTCTGCACCTCTTTACAAGTAGAAGAAGGAAAAAGAAAAAAGAAACCTGTTTGAGTAATTCACTGTAGGCAGGTCTCTGCTGAATACAGTGCAGCCCAGTCCTAAACTGATTCATGATCGTTATTTTTGTAGCGTCAAGGAGCCATCCTCGTGTTAAACAACTTGGGGCAGAGATTTCTTGATCCATCAGAAGCCCCCGATAAACCCTGTTAACCCGGTGTCCCTCCCTAGGCCTGTCCTGTGGAGAGGGTGGCTGCGAAGAAGTGTCCGTGGAAGCACCTGCTGCATTCAGAGGTTGGAAGCGTGCAGGAGAGGCCCTCAAAGGACATGCTCCTTTTTTAAAACGGACACAAACGAACACTGTCCTCCGTGTGGGGCCGCTGTCCTCACTCTCGGCTCTGCGGTAATCCCAGCCCACCTGACCTGCCTGTTCCCCCAGCAGTTTTCTGTCTGCAGGGAACTTGGAGCAGCCGGATCCACCCCAGGTCTTGCTGAGTCAGGCTCCACCCACGCTCCGCTCCGATGGGAGGAGCCTTGGCGCTCCGAGGCCTCAGCAGGGCCACACGCTGGGCTCTCCACAAACCCAGCCCAGAGGCTGCAAGGGCAGGGTGGGGTCTGTCCCCAGGAAGGACTCCTGGGCCTGCAGCAACGCCTTGTGCCCAAGCACTGATAATCGTGTGCCATATGTGGTCGCAAAATTTCACCTTTCAGCGACACAGACAGGGTTTGCTTTACAACAAAGGACGATGGCTTTGCCAAGAACTAAAGACTGAGTCTTGCTCCAGCGCTGGAGAGGAGAGGAGAGAGACGGATCAGAGGCGATCACGGGCAGGAACAGCCTTAATTACTATTATTATTTTTAATAATTCTAATAATAGAGTTAGTATCACGCTTTTTTCCCCCCAGAGCATTTTTCACCTGTATTAATTCGCTTCCTTCTCACACTGTCCCCCTGAAGCTGGAAAGTCGGGGCGTTCCGTTCTCATTTAACTGAGACCCAGAGAGGACTGCCGGCTCCACAGGATGGCGCAGGAAATCAGAGACGGTGCTCAGACTAAAAGTGACTCCGACGACAGCTACGTCATCCCGGCTGCAGCAGGAAACAGATGGCGCTCTTTGGAGAGGTGATTCATGGGAGGATACACGAAGGAACTATTTACAAAGGGGTGCGCGGCGTTAAGGGAAATCGGGACAGGATAGTAAGCAACCGGAGACCAGTCGGAGCAGGAAAGGCCCTGCCGCCCCCTGAGCCAGAGCAGCAAAGAGAGGGACCCGGGTCCACAGGAGAAGGCCACCGGGCAGGAGCCATGGCCAAGTCCGAGCAATGAATACTCCAAGGCTGTTTCCTCCTGCCCCCTCCCATTTCCTGCCGGGGCCTCCCATTGGCCAAACCCATCTGGAAGCCCGAGGGCAGCTCCGCCCATTGTGGGCAGCTCCGCCCATTGAGGGCAGCCGGGAGGTCAGCTTCCCACATCTGAGAGCAGGTGGAGATGGGGCTGATCTGGTGGGAGATGAGACCATCCCGCCGGGCTCCGCTGTGCATGGATCACGTGGCAGAAACTGCGCTTGGGGACTTCAACGATGGTCTCACGTCATCCGGGTTGGATTCCTGTGTGGTGGCTGTGAAACCTCAGATTGCCAATTCCCCTGGGGTGGGGCGTGAAACTTTGTTTTTCTATCATTTCTCTCAATTTTTATTCGGAGCCTCCCTTCTGATAGGTGGCTGGTACTTTATCTTGGGCAGTTCATGGTTCCTTCGGCCAACTCTGGGTCCCCGCACAATCTAACGCCTGAAACGTGTGCCCCAGGGGCTTCGCCCACACGGGTGAAGTTCATGTACATTGACTTTAAGGGTGCCCAGGGCACAGTCGCTTTTACCCATGCTTCCGCATGGACGTGTCTCAAGGCACATGTGTTCCCATCTGGTCTCTGTCACTGAGTCAGATTCCTGAGTGCCTGTCCCACCTTCAAGATCGCTCTGGGTCCTATTCTCTTTCTACCCTCCAGGGAGCACAGACATTTTTGGCTGTCGCCCACATGTGGTGCTGGCCGCGGTGGTGGCGGTGTCGTCACCAAGGACTGTCTCAGTCCTAAAGCATGCAGCCTGCTTTCTTCAGCCTCAGTCCTCCGAACCAGCGGGGGAAATTCTCTGTGAAACGAGTCACGTCAGGGCCCCGCCCTGGAAGGATGGCTAAAGGCCTCTGTGGAGCCCACTTCCCAAATGGGCCTGGCATTTCTGCTCTGCCCGTTCCCCTAGGGGCTTGGTCCAGAATCCTTTTCTCGGGGTCACGTGGCAATAACTATTTAACCCTCTTGCTCCTCCTTCAGCTCCCTTCCGTATGCCCCACCCCCACCCCTTCTGCCACTGACTGCAGCCTGTGGGCGCTTCAAGCATTAATTAGTTTGGGGTGTTGGAAAAATGGCTTCCAGTCATCAGATATGTTTCCATTTATGCACAAACTTGATGCCTTAAATATTTCAAGGATTAGGATTTTGAGTTTCAAAATGCCTAGATATTGGCAACCCAAACTGTTTTTTTTTCTTTTAAAATAACGTTTAAAACTCTCTGCCATGGTGACTGTTAAAAACTTGCACGTAGCATCCTGTCCCCAGGGTAGGAAGCCTCAGCTGTCCTCTGAAAGAGAAGCAGTTCATGTTACCGGAAGTTCCCAGAGCGGACATGGCCGAAGCTAACGCAGAGATGGGTTTCCATGGAGCCGATGAAGCCAATATATCAGGCCCCTCCCTTGCAAGGCCCCCTTTGTGGTTTGCTACTGAGCAACGTTGAAACGGCCGATCGCCATAGTGGGTGGTAGGGAAAATGATGAACAGGCTCGGGGAAGTGGGCACGCTGGAATGGCTGTATCCCGTGGGGACAGAAGACCTGCTGGGGACAGTGTTCTGTGGGAAGATGCAGGGGACACATCATTCCCCAAGGCCATCTGACACGCGATAGTAAAAGCAGGGTTGCCAGGCTGAACAAATTCCAACAGAGGATAGCCACTTACATTGGAATTTCAGATAAACAACAGATACGTTCTTAGTAAAAGCATGTCCCAAGTACTGTATGGGACAGTGTGGTAACCCAACACCTATCATTTCCCCCAGTAGTGACTTGGGAGAACGCTCCAGGCGGGGAAAACCTCAGCAGGGCAATGACAGGCTTTTGAGAGACAGGGGAGGCAGGTGGCAGGGTGCACACCGCGGAGACAAGGAATAACCTTTAACCGTGTGTGTGTCCAGTGCCATTGGGAGGCCTGCTTATACTTGCATATTATTCACTGCTTATCTGAATTCAGATTTAGCTGGGCACCATAAAAAACAACCGTGCTAGGGAATACCCTCAACTGACTTTACGACCTCTCTATAGAGCACGCTGTTACATTTTGCGACATCATGGATGGACCCGGCAGGGGGGTGGGTATTATGCTCAGTGAAATCTGTCAGAGAGAAAAAGACAAATGCCATATGATTTCATTTATATGTGGAATCTAAAGAACCAAATAAACAAACAAAACAAAAACAGACTCATAGATACAGAGAACAGACTGACAGTGGACAGAGGGGAGGGGTGTGGGGGCTGGGTGACAAAGGTGAAGGGCTTGGGAAACACAGATGGGCAGTTAGAGCACAGTCCCAGAGCTGTACGGTACAGCCCAGGGAACAGAGGCAATAATATCGTGATGATGGTGTACTGTCTGATGCCAAGTGGGTGCTGGAAATATCGGCAGGGCCACTCAGTAAAGACGTGATTGTCTAACCACTATTCTCTACATCTGAAACTAATCTAGGACAGCAGTGAATGTAAACTGTAACTGAAATCTTAAAACAATATATACAAGAAAGTGCTGTTACAAAATGATTGTCCTCTAAAGAGGCTATCCAAGTGTACGCGGCCAAAAGAAAAAAAAGTAGGGAAGAGTATTATCGAAGCACACAAGTCAGTTAATAAAGTGCTATTTTTCCGGATGTTGTGATATTTATAGTATTTGTCAGCTTTTTATTTGTAATTCGATATGGCTCCTCCTCCTGAGTAAACATTCCGTTTTGTATTTGATTTTGGATTTGTAAATTAGTATTCTTCTTCTTAAAACGAGCCTTCCAAGCTGAGCAAGGCTCAGTCCCACAAAACCTGGAACCACCTCCCCCCGCAACCCTGTTACAGCCAGTATTGTTCTGCCGGAGCTGTGAGGGGAGCCAGATAGTCCGTTTTACAGAAAAGATAAATGAAGCCCAGTGGCGGAGTGCTTACTCACCCTGACTCCGAAGGCTTCTCCCTCTGGCTCTGCTATCTTCAGGCTCCCTGGCTCTGCGTGTGTTCGCTGGTCCTGCTCCTGCCTCCACCACCCGGTCCCCACAGGGACAAGCAGAGGGGCACTAAGTAGGAAGAGCCGCCTCTCCAACAGGCCTCTGTTTAGAGTTTCTGCCCCGCGGGACCTCAGGACGGGGAGCTGGGTTTTGCTGTGTCGGACAGCCAGCCGAACAGGGCCAGGCCCACACCATCGGCTTTTGCAGGACAGAACAGAGCCAGTTGGAGGCCCTGGGTCCCGACTGGCACCTTGGGACGGAGCACTGCTGGTGTGGCTTCATGCTCCGTCACAAACGGAAGAGGAGGGTGGTGGTGAAGGGTGCAGGTCTGCGCTTCCTCGTTCCCTGAAACGGTTCTGCCCCACGAGGAGAGGTCTGCCTCGGGTTCAGGCCGGCCGCCGAAGACCCCTCATCTCTCGTTCCTCTGGCCCTGGGCTCCTGGCCACCCCTCCGGCTCATCAGGGCTGCTGAGAATCATAAAAGCCTTTCCTCTTACAGCACTAAGAACCCTGTATCACTAAATCCAGTGATTCTTGGGTCCGCCCTGGTGGGATGGAGAATCAATGGGAACAATGGGGTCACTGTCATTTTGACCGAGACTGGGTGCTTCTGCTTTTTTTGTTTAATTTGTTTTTGCTTAATTTGTTGTCAAAATACCCTTTGGGAAATCATGGTGAGAGTGACAATAGTTTCCGGCCTGTAGGGAGTGTTGCCATGTGCTGGGTATTGTGCTGAGCGCTTTGCACACTTTATCTCATTTAAACACCCCAAGAACCTTAAAAAATAGATGCTCTCATTAATCCCATTTTACTTCCGCAGAAACTGAAGTGTGAAAGGCAAGCTGGCCCCTGTCCTGCCGGGAGGGAGCGTGTCAGGGAGTCCGGGCCCGCGCAGGGCAGTCTGGTTTTCCTGCACGCACATGGCCATCACACCACCCTGCCTCTGGAGGATAAACACGGTTTCTAATTTTTTAAAATATTTTATTTGTTTACTTTTAGAGAGAGGAGAAGGAGGTGAGCAAGAGAGGGAGAGGGATCGGCTGCCTCTTGTACGTACCCCGACCAAGGACCGAACCGACAACCCAGGCATGTACCCTGATGGGGAGTCAAACCAGCAACCCTTTCGCTTTGGGACGACATCCAACCCACGGAGCCACACCGGTCAGAGCTGCAGTTTATAAACTTTTATGTCCTTCTCCCGCAAAATTGAAGTCTAGCAGCCTTGGCCGGGGACCCATGCTTTCTAAAAACACTTGTACTGGGCTGGAGACCTGGCCTCCTAAGGGACGTTGAGATAGCCCCTCCGATCCACTGGGCAGGTGCCGGGAGAGGTGGCTGCGTTACCCGACGCCACCCAGCAGGTTGCAACCAAATCAGACAAAGAGAGGACCTGGCCTGGCAGGTTTCCAGCATTCACGAGATGTGAAAATTGGGGCATTTCCTTTGACCTGGACAATGGCGGGCTCGAGGACAGGCAGCCACTAGAAACACATTCAGAAAACAACCCTTCGAACCTGTGTCTCTCCAGGGACGTCCTGGCCTCAGCGCTGTGCTTCTGGCCGCGCCGGGAAGGCCTCCACCTTCCTGAGTGGAGGGGACCTTCCAGGCCCCGGGCTCCTCCTGGACGCTGCCTCCCAGGCAACAAAGGAGGGTCTGGGGGCGCATCCCTCCCTCTCCCTTCGTGGCTACCGCCTCCCACTCAAGGAGCTGCCTTCCAGTTGGCTGTCTCCATGGTGAAGGTGAGATGGTTTCCACGGCAACAGCCGGGGCGAGCTGGTTTCCTTGGTGACGATGAGGAAGTTGAGGCACTTGGGCTCAGTGTATCTGTCCTCTACACCAGTGCCCGCCCTGCAGAGGTCATGCCCTGGGCTTCCCGGACTAGGGCCTTGTGTGACCATAATAACAGTTTTACAAGTGATAGACTCTACCCAGGCCAGTGGACCAGTGCTCTGCTTAGGCTCTGGGTCCAGGCTGACTTGGTTTGGGCACGTGACTTCACCGGTTGGGCTCTCAGTTGTCTCATCTGTCCAATGGGGCTAATAAGAAGATCAGCCTCGTAGAGTTGTGAAGAAGTAAATGTGACAATAAATTTGAGCTTATTATTAGATAGTAACTTTCATCGTTATTGTGCACTGCTAGCCGCTGTTATTACAATGCAGAAAGAGGAATACATTGGCTTCAATGAGACCATCGTAGCCATGAGGAAGCAGGAGCCAGGGACAGTGCCTGCCTGCTGGAATCCCAGCCTTGTTAAGAGGCAGGACTAGAGGGAGAAGCCAGACACTGGGACTCGAGGCCAGCCCTTTTTCCACTCCGCCTCCTCTTGCCCGGTGGATACACCGGCCACTGCCCTTGATCCCCTGCTCAATCAGAGACCCGGGGAGCTAAGTGCCTAGGCCTCCCTCCTTCCCCACGCCGCTCTGGTTTGCACCGTGAGCCTAGACTAAGTCAACGCCAGCAGGATTGTCAGAGCAATCAGCGAGCACAAGGCAGGAATGACAAATTAATTTAGGGAGGACGTCCCATCTCATAAATGACCGATGTCTAGAACGCTTCACTGTTTCCTTGAACGCATCTGGCATCGCGTGGCCTCTGGCGGCTTTCCCGAACCACCTAGTGTTTGAATTACTAAGGTGCTGCTTGTGGGACCTATGCGTTATTTAGGAAGTGATACATCATTCTGGGAACACAACTGCTTTAGGACCGACCAGCCTGGGAATCAAAGCCTACGTTCCATTACATACCAGCGATGTGGTCTCGGATGAGCTTGTTAACCTCCCCGGCATCCGTTTTCTGATCTGTGAAAACGCCTCCTGCAAAATTCGGCGTGAAGTTTAGAGATAAAACACTTGGGACGTGAAAGTCACTGGACAACTGGTAGCCTCTCGTTGCACACAGATGGTCGCCTCCCACTTCAAGCTTGTTGTGTTTTCACCTCCCTTGTTGGTCCTCGTGGGAGTGTCTGATCCATGAAGGCCAGACTGTGCCTCAGAGGGGGCCGCACCAAAGTGAGCTCCGGAGAAGTGTGCTGGCGTGGGCACAGGCTCCCGGCCGCCTCGTCGGGGGCCTGAGGACTGCAGCCTGCCGCGGGAGCATCACGATCTAGGCCAGAGAGCAAAGGGACCGCCCAGCTAACTCTGCCCCAGCGCGCTCTCCAAGGCCGGCCGGGAGTGCTCACTCTGGTCTGGGGGCTGTCGATCCGGTCCGCAGGGTGGGCCCTGTCCGCGGGTTCGGACTCCAGGGCCCTCCCCAGTACCCTCGCCTAATTGTGTCAGAAGTTAATATCCAACTAAAACCTGCCAATAGAATTGTATGTGCCAGAAATTGAGGACTGAGTCCAAGGGAGAGTTCAGTCAGTATCTTGATATGTTTAAAATGTTTACACAATAAAGCCTGGATGGACAACTGGCTATTTGCCACCACGAGGCACTGGATCTGGAGAAAGACACAAATGCAGGCATGTACACACACGCAGAAACAAACACACACGCACCTGCACATGCACACGTGCATGTATGTTCACACGTGTGTGTATACACACATGCAGGCTGATGCACAGATGCAGAGTTCCCAGATCGTGTGTCTGCCCCCTTTCTGGTCCTGGCAACATTTATGACCTTAGGTGAGGGAAATACGTTAAAGTACACCCCACCCCCACCCCCGCCGGCTTCTGCTGTTAGACTAGGTCAAGTTCACTGCTGCCACTTGCAACCAAAGAATCCTAAGGGATGCATTCACTCCCTTTCAGCAGGAGGGCGGGCAGACGGCAGGCTGTGATACCCCTGAAGGAATTCAGTTAACGGAGGTTCTATTCCTCAGACTTTCCTTAATAATAATAATAAAGTAACGCCCACCTGCTGGGCAAAAGGGTCATGAACTCTTCTCATCTCACATCCTCCTCCACATAAACACCCACCACGGCAGACAGATACCAACTGGAAGGGCCTCAGCAATGGCATTCACTGAGTTCTTGGCTCTCGCAGGCGCCTGAGGAGCTCACTCCCCTCTGGGGACAGAAGGGACTCGGGACGCCAAAGATGAAATGCAGCCGCGCACCGCCGGCCTGGGCAGCTTTCGGGCTGCGTCAGCTGCTGCGGACGAGGTGCGCGCAGTGTGTCCCTCTGTGCCGGAAGCGGTCCGGCGACGGCCGCCACAGCCAATGAGAAGGTCGCAGATCCCTGGGGTCGCCGCAGAAAAGCAGCCCCACTCACGGGCCCTGAGAATTGTGGGTTCAGAAGCACCCTCGAGAACGCCCAGAGGACGACACCCCCAGAAGGCAGAGCCACACTGAGGACGGGGTCCCTGTGTGGCTTGGGGAAGAGGCGCCTTCGGGTGCAGGGCCGCTCCCCAGGAAGCGGGTGCCGGTGCAGGCTGGTCTCCCAGGAAGCAGGCTTTGAGGAGCGTTTATGGACAGGATGTTTGTTAAGGAGTGTCGCTGCAACCCTCACCTGGGAGGGGACAGGAAGGAAAGAGGGTTGGGCAGAGGGACAAGGTGAGGCCCAGCAATACCCTCGCTGACCCTGCAGGGAACACTGGAGCCACGATGACCTTCATGGTTGCCTCCCTTTGGACAGACCTGGCCCAGCCTTCCTGCCTTCCCCACTGGACGCAGCCAGCCCAGGAAGGACCAGCCAGCCCCGGGCACTGAGCTTGTCTCAGGACAGCATGCCCAGCTGCCTGGCAAGCAGGCCCTCCAGGCACGGGGGTCTTGGTGGCAATTCTAAGCGTCCACCAACAGTAACCCCCTGCAGGAGGCAGAGCAGACACCAGTCGGAGGGAGCTGCAGCAAACCCGATTCCAGCACAGCATGCTGTGGGCACGGCCGCTCACCCTCTGAACCCGCATCTGTGAGGCGTGTACCTATGCCCACCCTCGCCCAACACTGGGTGAATCCAGCCCCTGTCCTCACGAAGCATGTACTCCAGCAGTCTAAACAGGGACACAGTGTCTGAGTCACCCAGGCCTGGGAGGCGTCAGCCTACAGAGGTGTGGGAACTTCGGGTTTAACTGAACTAAGAAATAAAATTTTAACAACTAGAGTTGTCATCAGAATGGGCTAAGGAACATTGAAAACAACGAAAGAAAAAGAATACTGGTTTGAGCCCTGGCTGGGGTGAATCGGTGGATTGAGTGCCGGCCTGTAAGCCAAAATGTTGCCGGTTCGATTCCCAGTCAGGGTACATGCCTGGGTTGCTGGCCAGGTGCCCGGTTGGGGGCGTGTGCAAGAGGCAACCAATCGATGTTTCTCTCCCTCTCTTTCTCCCTTCCCCCTCTCTCTCAAAAAATAAGTAATTAAATGAAATATTTTTTTAAAATACGCTGGTTTAGGTATTAGAAAACCTGGATCTGAACCAGGCCCTGAGGGCTGTGCGACCTTGGGGAAGTCACTCACTCACACTGATGGCCAGCGCCGCCCATGGCAAACAGCGAGGATGCAGAGGAGGCTGGCTGGGTGGCTTGCTTTCCCCGGTAACCGCTCAGCCGCTGTGGATATCGTAAAACTTATTGGTCCAACCAAAAGGGCCATAAACCCTGTTTTATGACCCCAGGAAGCTAGATGCTGGGCAGGGAGCCCCAGAACCCCCGTCAGTCTTAAAACTTTGGAACACATCGGTTGTTCCGTGTCCACTGACCTTGGTTTAGGGCTCGGGAAGATTGACACTTTTTTTCTCTTTGAGCTCTGGTTTAAATCTGGCCGAGTTCTGCTGGGACTCGGTCATCCTGAGCGACCCTGGCCTCACAGCATCCTTGGGAAGTCAGGCAAGCAGCTACGGCAAGAAATCCCAGCACACACACACACACACACACACACACACACACACACACACACGTGGTCTTGTCATAGATTTTCAGATAACCATCTGCAACACCAGCAGAGGTTCAGATTTCCAAAAGACAGAAAACAAAAAAATACAACCCTCGTCTTGAAGACGCGAGAGAGCCCTCCCGCTATCCCTGGCTCAGAAAACTGAAATCATCCTCGCAGCGAGTGGGAGGCGGCGGAATATTTTTATTCCGTGACCTAAAATGCTGTGTCATACACAGAGCGGTTGGAAGATCCCACGCCTAACAGCCTCATTTTCTCCCCATTTTGAAAGTCATGGGGAGGTGCCCACCACACGAAGCCCTAAACTGCCTTTGCCACTCTGGGTGTGCATGCAGTTTGGAGACATGAAACACTGTACATCTGTCGTGCGGTGCGACTATGGCCGCCCTCCACCTCCAGAGCTCTTTCCATCTCTAAAACTGCAGCTCCATCCCCGTTAGATCATCGCTCTCCATCCTCCCCTCCCCCAGCCCCTGGCAGCCACCACTTCACAGCCCAGGGCACCGGAGGCCAGAGAGGGTCAGCAGTGTGTCAGAGATGCACGGGCCTTTCGTGGCCGACCGAGCACTCAGCCCGGATCCTGGGAGCCCCGGCCCGTCGTGTTGCTCTGTACTTTCTGTTAATCGGGGGGCTCAGGGTACAGGGTGTGGCTGGCAGTACCCCCTGAGCACTGCCAGTCCTGACTGCACCCACACGCCCTAACTCACCATCCTAGGCTCGTGCTGGTTTTGCAAGCGGCGAAGAGAGCTGGGGGTGGAGGCTTGAGCACGAGGAGCGGAACAGATGCTACCGTCATCAGCCGGGGCTTGCACCACAGGGCCCCGTGGACCGGGAGCCTTAAAGAGAAATGCGGATCATCGCATCCCAGCGCTGGAGGCTGGAAGCCCAAATCCAGGTGTGGGTGGGGCCGGCTCCTGCTCAGTCCTCTCCGCTCCGGGCGTCTCTCCTCGGCTTGTAGGGAGCTGTCTTCACCCGGCATCCTCCCTGTGTGTCTGTTTCTGAACGACCCCCTTTTGTAAGGATACCAGGCACATTGGATGAGGGGCCCACCCTGCTCCAGTATAACCTCATCTTAATTACATCTGCAATGACCCTGCTTCCAAATAAGGTCACCTTCTGAGGTCCCGGGAGCAAGGACACCAGTATGTTGATAGGAGGGTGGGGGCCGGCTAGCCCACAGGAGAGGCCCTCTCCTTCACGAATTGGTCCAGAGAGACGACTAGACTCCGAAGCTGGGGAACTCAGACACAGTCTCCTGTATACTTGGCAACGTGACTCATGACATCATGGATCAACAAGGACAAGGATGCTCTAGGCAGTAAATGCCCCAAATAGCTCAGCGGCTCCACTCCTTAGGCATGCGCCCTCCACTCTGCCGAGTGAATGCCACACTGCGCTCTGTGAGAGAATGCCAGCGGCGGCCCTGTTTGTGATACCAAACGCTTTACTCACAGGAGGGCCGAACCCGCGTCCCCAGAATCCACAGGCTAAAGTCCTCACTCACCCCTAGCACCTCCCAATGTGCCTGTCTTTGAAGACAGTGTTTACAGAGGTGATTAAGTTGAAAGAAATGCATGAGGGTGGGCCCTGACCCAATGGCTCATCTCCTTAAAAGGAGAAGAGACTAGAACACAGACCAGCAGGGAAGGAGGACCATTGATCCGACTGATGTCTCTGCAAGAAGGGAAACTTGCAGGGACACAGAGAGGATGCTCAGGCACAGAGAGGAGAGGACACGGGGAGAAGGGGCCGTCCACAAGCGAAGGAGGGAGCCTCAGAAGGAATCGGCCCTGCCGACACCTCGGTCTTGAACTTCCAGCCTCCAGGATTGTGAGAGAATCCAGGCCTGTGTTGAAGCCACCCTGCCGGCGGCACTTTGTCACGGCTGCCCCGGCAAACGAATACAGTGGCGGAGCGCCGCAGCACTGTGGGGAGGGGTAGAGAGCACCGAGTTCGACACTGCAGTCACCTCTGTGAGGACGGAGGCGGGTGTGACCCACGACAGGTTTTCGGAAGGCGTGGGCAATGTTTTGTTTTTTAAGCTATACGATGGGCGCCTCGATGTTTGTTACATTATTCTCTCTCTTCTTCTTTTTTTCTATTATTTATGATTATTTATTTATTTATTTTTAGAGAGGGAAGGGAGGGAGAAAGAGAGAGACAGACATCAATGTGCGGTTGCTGGGAGCCGTGGCCTGCAACCCAGGCATGTACCCTGACTGGGAATCGAACCTGCGATGCTTTGGTTTGCAGCCTGCACTCAGCCCACTGAGCTACGCCAGCCAGGCCTCTTTCTCTTTTTTGTAAACACTCAAGAATGTGTGAGTGTGACTGCGGGCCGAGTGACCCCAGGGTTCTAGTCAACGGACCGCACAGGGGCTCTAACTATGGACCTTGGGCTCCTCATTTCATTTCCACTCTCTGGCCTCAGGGCTCTAACTGCAAAATTAGAAGAATAAGTCAATGTTTTCCAAAGCGCGTTTCCACAGGACACTACTCTTGTAGGATTTTTAATTACTATCTACATCCACAAAGGGCTACGTGGCCAAATATTTTTAGCAAGCACTGGATAATCAAAGATGAAATCACATTGTTCACTGCAGAATTCTCACGTGCCTTTATTCGTGAACAGCCGCAGGGCCCTCGTGTGGCTACAGAGGTGCGCCTCCCTCAAAGACTCGGGTTCAAGTCCTTTCCCTTCACTCCAATAGGAGCTGATGTCCCCGATGGTTCTGAAGGGACAATCGATAATTTTGCGCACGGGTTACTTTCTATCAATAGCCACGTGTGACAAGTTTAAGTGGCAGACGAACCCAACAGCAGCCTGTGTGACAGACCTTCCTGAGAGCGGCACGGGGCCTCCTAAAGTGCAGAAGGGAAGACTCCAGAGAAACCTGTTATTTTGGTTTTAAAACACTAAGCTAGAAAGTGAATTGAGCCCTGGCCAGTGTGGCTCAGTTGGTTGGGGCACAGGCCTGTAAACAGACGGGTTGTGGGTTCGATTCCCAATCAGGACACGCGCCTTGGTTGCGGGTTTGGTCTCTAGTCGGTCGTGATGAGTAGGGCAGGCAACAGATCGATGTTTCTCTCTCTGTCTCCTCCCTTCTCCTCTCTGTAAAACCAGTACTCATGTCCTTGGGTGAGGATTTTTAAAAAGATGAATTGAGTAAAACCAAACCGTTATGAATTAACTATGAGTTAAAATAAATTATACATTTTTAAAAATCCATCAAGGTTTTCTTTTTAACTTTTGACTGGGACTGTAAGATACACACAGAAGCGGGCATGACATAACCCACAGAGCTCAGTCCATACCCGTTGCCTGGAAACTGAGCGTTGTCAGGACCCCGCCCCCCCGCCCCCCCCCCCCCGCCGCTGCCCTGTGGGCGCCTCCCAACCACCACTCCCTCCCTCTCCCCCAAAGGCGAACACTTACTCTCTTAGTGGCGCCTGTTAAAAAATTTTTTTTAAATAAATAGAATCTAAAGTATGTACTCTTTTTTAAAAAAGATTTTATTTATTTATTTTTAGAGAGGGAAGGGAGGGAGAAAGAGAGAGAGAGAGAAACATCAATGTGTGGTTGCTGGGGGCCGTGGCCTGCAACCCAGGCATGTGCCCTGACTGGGAATCGAACCTGTGATGCTTTGGTTCACAGCCCAAGCTCAATCCACTGAGCTACGCCAGCCAGGCCTGTACTCTTTTTTAAAGTATTAAATTTTTTAAAAATAAACAGAATCCAAAGTCTGTACTCCTATGTGTCTGTACCCAGTGCTGGTGAGCTCTGTGAACGTTAGGCTCTCGTGCGACTGTGTAGTAATGATCTCCTTGGAGGGCAGTTTGGCAATGTGCATTCAAGATCTGAAATAGGTTCATTTCCTTTACTTGCCGAGTCCACTTCCAGGACGTTAGGATGCTCTGGTGAAGCACGCAGCCGTTCAGAATTATACATGTGAAAGATATTTAATGGCTGGCCCTTATTAGAAGATAGATCATGACAGGTTAAGTGCCTTTACCTAAGTGTGTATCTTCAAACACAAGCTTTACGCAATGTCTGCAGGAAAACATTCCGAAGCTAAATATTGCAACCCCCCCCGGTTTTGGGAACGTGTGATAATACTAGGACATTAAAAGCTCCAACGAGTCCTGAGAGAAGAAAACGAATGCCGTTTTTATCATCATAAAAAGATACAGACACATGTTAGTACATGCACAGGTA